TCTCACACGTGGTTTGTGTGCTCGCAGCATGTATTTTCATTTTTGTTGTGTGTTTCACCACCAGTCGGTGTTCAGCGGTGTTATCAAAGATGCAGTCAAGTTAAACTCTGCATGATTTTGACCGACCAATCACAAGTGTGTTGTTGAAAAGTTGTTGTTGTGAAGCTAAATTCAGAATATAAAAGAAGAATGTGCTGAGTTAGCAGATTTCCATTTGTTGAGCCAAACATTTGCTGCCTGCGTTTGGGGTCTTTGATGTGTATTCGATTTAGCTGCATATGTTTGGATCATGAAGTTGACACAGAACCCAGTATTCAAGAAATACAGTAAGCGCATTCTATTGTTGCTCCTGTATGAGTTGCACGTTTGTTCGTCCATGACAGTAAACAGAGTTGGAAATAAGTCAGTTATATCCAGCAATTGAAAATTAGTGATTGAAGCCTTTGTGCAATACAAAGCTGAACAAGACAGAAGTCCATTGCAAATAATGCGTCCATGTAGTCATTGGATGCCTCTATGATAATTAAAAGATGTAGTGTCTCCATTTACCATAGGCCTTCAAATCAAAGACCAGGCCCCGAATATTTTTCACTGCAAGGCTGAATAATGTTCTGTGTTTGTTTTTAAAGACTGCGCACACCGGAACCCTCGTGCAGGCCCTCTGAGGGCAACAAGCGTCGAGTGAAGAAACCAAAACAACAAATTGAAACTCTTGTAAGAAGGTTACATTCTTCATCATTCTTCGTAGGGTCTTGTTGTTGGTGCTGGTTTCAGTGTTTACGGGTCGCCTGCCTTCATGAGGACCAAGGCCAATTTTGAACACGTTTCCGCTATGTTTGCCCGAAAAACAGTCCGCCTACAATTGGCAGAAAACAGGAAGCATTTGATTCAACTAGCATGATCTTGCGTTGGAACACAACAAATGCCACGTGAAAGTTTCGGCACCACCCTCGGCGCTTCCGAACTTCCTTTCAACCTCCCTCGCCGACTTGCGGCCGCTACATTCGGCGGCTTGAGCCGCACACGCATGTCCACCTTTGGATGACTTGTTCGTGGATGCACATGATGCCGAGGCAGTGTAGATGCTGCCTTCGCCGAACGGTGAATACTGGACGCTGTGTCGCAACGCTGAATGAATCCTCAGCACCTGGCTACCTTGGGCCTTGAGAACTGGTTTGGCAGCAATGCAGGACAAAACGCCTGGATTGCGGGAAATGGGAAACAGTCCAACCCCTTGGCCAAAATGACGCCCAAAGCACAAGCGGAGAAGCTTTGGAGAAAGAGAGAAATCTAGGTTCTTCTAGACAGCAAGCGGACAAAAGTAGCCCGGCAGAATGGGCGTTGACCTCAATGCGTCGGTCGTCCTGGCGTGGGTTGCCCGCTGGGCGGGGCTACAAGTTTTCATCGCAGTGGGCTGGTTCAATGTCGTCGAACACGCGCCCGAGCTGCACGAGATCCGCGCGTACGTGCGTTAGCAGCAAAGGGGCCGCGTTAAAACCATGGCAGGTGCGCTGCAGGACGCAGAAAGTCGTATGAAACAAAACGGACGGTGGCCATTGTTTTTCCAGCTTCGACTACAGCATATGCAACGGCCAAGAGGGGAAAACGAACAGGAGGAGAAGGCCGATTTTTTTCTACCCGAAAGCCGTTGTGTGCACACCAACATTGTGTCATTTTGTGGCGTCAGCTTGCAGGCAACAAGCCGCGACCGCAGTACGCTTTACGAGCCTCTTCAACGAAAGGAAAGCTTTTTCAGTTGCAAGCCGGTGCACCAACCGCCGATGTGCACACGTCGCCTTCGTGATATCTTGAAATGCACCGTGCTGAGGGGCTCTCACGGTGTTGCTTCTTCTTGCGGGGGTAACCATTGTATCCATTGCGATGGTCCAGCTTGGGGCTCAATGCCTGGTTCGCATGGGCTGGAGCCCGCAGCCCTCAGAAAAGTTGGCTGCACCATCGTTTTCAGCTGAAGCCACTTTGGCGCAACTGAAACGAGTGAGCGTAAGATAGCAGGCCAAGGAAGGCCAAGGGTGGCTGTGCTGGACACGTGAAGGGAAGGGCGCTAGCTGCACAGGACCATGTCGCCGCAAAGGCCATGTGTGCACTTCACCCGCCTCATGAAGACAGCAAGCAACAGTTCTGAAACAACCGTGAGCATATACGTCTAAAAACATCTGGCCTGCCTGCGCTTGCACATGCAAACCGCGCAGAGTGACGCCCGGCAAGCAGCGCAGCTTCGCTATTTTTCCCTGTCGCTAATCTGTCGGTCGCTCCACCGAGACAGACACTTGAATGGAAAGTGCACAAATCAGGCACCGAATTAGAGGCAAAATGGGCTATACAGGCGGGGTGAAGCTCGCAGAGGATTGTTTCGTGCCGCTATTCACGACGGTCTTATTAAAAAGTTCTTAACGAAATCGGAAACGAAGCAACTGATTCAACAGATTCGTCAAAATGTACAGGTTGAAAAAACTTGTTGACGAAATCATCTGCTTTGCGGGGCTTCATGTTGTGTCTGTTTGACGTCCGCTTTAACAGCGAATCCTGTCCCAGTCGAGACTTTGCGAACGACGAGGCATGGCGCCACTGAAGTAGGCCGTTCCACACACATCCAATGTTGCGTTTCACACCTGCCGGCGACCAGGGCGGTATGCGACTTCTGGCGTGCTCGCATCTCGGGCCTTGCAAAATCTCGAGTGGGCGGTCGCGAGGGCGTGCCAAGAAGCTGGGGCGCTAGTAGCCCGCAACATGTGCTTGGCGGACGTGGACATCGACGTTCGGGCCACTAGCGACCGCAGCATCGACATCGTCGCGAACGGGTTATCCCTCAGCCCCAGCCCCGTTAGCTGTTGACGGATCCGCTTTCGCTTTCGCTTTCGCCCGTTCGAGTGATGGTGAGACACCACGGCAACGGTCCTATAACATGGGGATGTTGGTGAAACATAAAACAAGATAATAGGATTCACAGCACCATAAAGTTTCAAATTCGCGTTCTTTGACTTTCCATGCTGTACATGCTGCCACGTTGGTCCAGCAAGGTGCGTTCGGAAAATGACGGTTACAGAACGAGCGGCTCGTAACGAGCGGAGTCTATCATCCCATTTTGTCAAGGGGCGACCAGGACGGCGAGACGGACATAAAGTAAAGTTCTCTGTCCAATTCATTGCCGGATGCCACGTGCAGACGTGTCGTGCCCAGCTATCGGATTCAGCAATTTGGGATGCAAAATGATACTGACGTCTGGCCAATCTTGTTGTCCACATTTGTGATCTGAATTTGGCTTTCCAGTTCCGAAACGCATTCGATTCGAAACTGTCGCCCGTCTTTCAAACAGCCAGATTGGAAGTGATACAGCGTCGACAGTAATCTAAGATATGATAACGGCACACCTTGGTCAGACAGGGCATGGAAAAGCGAATCAAACTCAATCCGATCAAAGGCCTTTCGCAGATCAAGGCTTGCGATCCATAGCGGCTCTTTCCATTCAATGCATTTTCCGACCATTGTCTCCAAAACTGCAAAAGCATGATCGACTCCAAGTTTGTGACGAAAGCCCACCTGATCACGGCTTTTGTCTTTTATCCAACAATGGGTGAATGCGCCAGTGTATCAACTGAGCAAATATCTTGTACGTAATTCGTAAGACTGCAATAGGCCGCCAGTTCGAAACTTCAGCAACATCACCTGGCTTGGGGATCATTTTGAACAATGATTCTTGCCAAGACGGCTCCAAACATTGATCACGCAACATTCGATTGTAGATGCCAAGTAAAACCTCATGCAGTGAACGACCTCCGTATTTGAACATCTCTAACACCAGCCCCAAATCGTCCCCAGTTTTACGGGTTCTCATCGACTGTAGTACACTCGTCAGCTCGGAGAGTTTGAAGGGGGGAATGTCGGCAAACGATGTGTCATACTGCAAGCCATGGTGTGCTGTCAAATGGTCTCGGCGGTCTCTCTTGACGGATCCGCTCGACGCAAACGCCACCAGACTTACTCCCAGCATCCCCCAGCTGGTGCTGCCGACTGGCTCCGGATGCCCGCCGGGCAACATGCCTCGGACGGCCGGTTTTTTTTCCAAGGATTTTTTTGCCAACGTCCAAGGCAAGTCGATCCCTGTGCAAAAGCCCAAAGCCAAGGAAACAGTTTACAGCAACGCGCCGCAAAAGCATTCACGCCACACGACTCGGTGAAGAGTTCTATTCCTGTACGCGTGCATGGGTACTCGGTTTCGCTTACGGGGTTATCACCATGTCGATGCTGGGAGGAGTTCCCAATCTGTTTTCGAAGCCGCTTTGCGAGGAGTGCTATTCCTTTGCGTGTGCGTGTGTTGTGGGTTTCGTTGACGCCCCTCTGTCGTGAGAGAGTGGACGTTGGCGACATCATTTTTTTGCCGGTGGGTGGAGTTTTCCCATGTGATTGATGGAGCCGCGGCGCGCATGCGGGGCTAGCGAACAAAAAGCGTGCTACGTGCTTCACGATATATACTGCCCCCTGCGTTTGATATCTTCAATGATTGTGTATGCCTGTGCGTTGGTGGCACGCACCCGCAGCGACAGTTCCGCGCATCACCTTCGTGCCCAATGTATGTCATGCTCAACGTTCTGCAGCCTTAGGCCTAGAGCTTCATGCGTGGTTGCTTTGTAACAAATTTTTGCAACCGCTGCGTGCTCGTCTTTGACACGCGTTTTCCAGCCCGCAGAGGCCAACTTGGAAGGCCGTTCGGCCTCGGCGAGCGCTACGACCCGACCGAGCGGGATGTGGCGATTATCGTCACGCCGACGCAGTGCCCTTGAGCCCCCCGCTGCTTGAGCTTCCTGAACCTCGCCCTATACCGATCCCCGATGCAGATGACAGGGTCCTTGCGTGGCTCCGGTGTTGGGTTGTTTCCGGACGCGGGATAGCTGTAGAATGCACAGGGGGGAGGCTATGAAGGAGGTAGGGGGTTTAGGAACGGAGGGGTTTTGTTTGGTTTGTTCATCCGACCGGCATCGGAGATGTCAAAGCGAGGATGTCTCTACGAAGCTTGGGGTGCCTTGGCGCAGATTCATTCGAAAACCTCCGTTGAGAGATTCGTTTTGCCAAGGGCACGGAGCAAGATCAAAACGCAACAACAGATGGAGCGTACTGTCACCGCAAGACCGGAAGGCTCGAAGATGCTTCAAAGTGCAAAGGCTCTTGTCCACCTTGGCGAGCTGTCCGCTGCCGGACACGCTTTGACGGCAGAACCGCTCGCTGCAGGCAACAGCGACACCCTCGCAGAGCCCCGCGACCCCCAGCGACGACGGCACGAGCCCGACGCCCCGCTGCCGCAGGCCCCGCTCCAGCATAACCCTGATCAAGCATGCCCCCTGCCTCTGCAGGCCTTCCTCGACAGCTTGCGGAGTGCTCGTCGCGGCTCCGCTGCCGGCCCGTCCGGCGCCACCAACGAGCACATCCGCGTTTTGCTCGACAACGAGGAGGACGCCCGTTTGCTGCATGGCACCGCCCTTCGGCTAGCCCATGCGGAAGTGCCTCTCGCTGTGCTCAACGGCATCCGTGTCGCGCGCCTCGTCGCGCTGCGCAAGCCCAACGGCAGGGTCCGTGCTCTCGCAGTCGGGGATGTGCTGCGTCGTCTTGTCGGCCGGGTACTCACACAGCATTTCGCCCCTCATTTCCAACATGCCTGCATGCCTCACCAATACGGCCTGAGCACGCGCACCGGCACGGAGGCAGTTAGCCGTCCGCTCTGCGCGGCCACGGAGGCATCCCCCCGCGCCACAGTTCTATCGGTTGATGCTGTTGGCGCCTTTGAGCACGTCTCGGGGGGATCCATCCTAGCCGCCCTGCATTCGAGGGAGGCGAGCAGGGCGACCCACTGATGCCGGCATTCTATTCAGAGCCAGCTGGGTGACGGAGAGGCCGTCTTCGCCTTCCTTGACGACGTGTATGTTGTGTCGACAACCGGATGACACGTATGTGGTCTCAGCACCGCAGCGCACGGGCGCGCTGCACGGCGCCCTGGAGGACGCGCTATGGCGCCACGCCCGCATACGCCTCAACCAAGGCAAAACTCGCGTATGGAACGCTGCAGGCGAAGAGCCTGCCGGCCTCGCCCGTCTCCAGCCCACTGGTGCAGAGCCAGTCTGGACGGGCGCTTGGTCTTTGCCAGCGGACCAGCAGGGACTGCTGGTGCTGGGCGCACCGCTTGGGAGCGAAGCCTTCGTGCAACAGGAGCTGCGCCGCAAACGGGAGACCCAGGACCAACTGCTTACTCGCCTGCCTGCCGTCGGGGACCTGCAGTCCGCGTGGCTCCTTTTGCTGTTCTGCGCTTCCCCACGTGCCAACTACTTGCTCCGGATGCTCCCGCCCGGCGCGACGGAGGCTTGTGCGCGTGAGCATGACGCTGCTGTGAGTGCATGCTTAGCGACCTTGCTGTCGCAGGACTCCCGGCCTCCGCAGTCTCTGCCTCAGCAGTCACAGCGCTTCGCACAGCTGCCGTTACAATATGGAGGCCTGGGTGTGCGCTCGGCAGTCGACGCCGCCCCCGCCGCCTACTGGGCATCCTGGGCGGACTGCTTGCCGACCATTCGAGCATCAAGGCTCAAAATCCAGCTCGGTTTGGTGGGCTGCCTCGCGCCGCCGTATGGAACATGTGACTCTGACCGTCCGAGGTCTGCAGCTTGAAGCCGTGTTGGACCGGCCCAAGGGCTTGGTGATCCTCTTCCAGTCGGTGATCGAGCACGCCGGGTGCACGCTGCAGCCCGGGACACCCGACCCTGTCCCTGAGCCCGCTGCGCCTCCAAGCCCCGCCAGCTACTCCCCCTCCGACCACGAGTTGTGGCGGCCTCGGCTGCGCTCTCCTGCCCCCGCCACACCGGAACCCTCCCCGTCCCCGGTGCGCAGTCGTTCACCCTGCCTCTTTGACGGACGACCTACCCCCCGGCCCCCGGCAGCGCGGCGTCCGCGCCCGGAGCGCCCACCCCCAAACCAGCCCGCCCCGAGCCAGCCTCGCCGCCGACGAACCCACCGGAGCCGTCGGGCTGGCGTCTCCGTGCGCTCAAGACACCCCTTCCCTAGCGAGGACCCAGGCGTCCAGACCCCCAGCCCTTTTGGCCGCGAGGACCCGGGCACCCAGACCACCAGCCCTTTTGGCCGGGCAGCGGCGTCGACGCCCTCGCCCTTTGGAGGCACTGTGGGGCCGTTCCCCTTCCAGTCCCCACCCTTCTTGGCGCAGCCCCTGCCGACTACGCTGCCGCCGTGGCTGCACCGGCGGCAGCCACCCAGACCTTGAAAGCGACCTCCAGCAGCCGCCGGCGCCTCCGCGGCAGCCGCGGCAGCGGGAGTCGTGTGCCCGGACCCCAGCTTTCTGCAACAATTGTGGTTGGTGCGCACAACCCGTGCTGCCCCTGCCTGGAGGCTCTATTTCTGACAGGCCGCCGGCGCCCCCAGGCTGCCGCGGTCGCCAAATCTTGCCCGCGCCTCAGCTTTGTGTTCGAGTGCGTGCAATTTGCAGCCGTTGCTCCGCTTCGCCAGAGGCCATCCCCAACCAACATCTGAATCTCGCCTGCGGCTCGGCCCCGACCGCAGCTTGGCGGGACCCGCTCTTGGCCTGAGAGGCAGCCGCCGCTTCCAGCCGGCGCCTGAACGGCAGCCGCGGAAGGCCCCCAGTCAGCGAGCTCGCCTGAAGCCCAGCCTGACTCGCATACAACTGCACCGAGCCCGTGCTTGCACCCAGGCCACGCGGCTGTTCCACTGAGCCTTGTTTGACGCCGGGCCAAGGCTGTGAGCGCACCCCGTGCTGCCCCCCTTCGCGCCCGGCGCCAGTCAGACTGCGTGCACCAGCACTCGCACTGACTAGTCATCTTCCTGACCTGCTTGTGTACAGACCCCCCCACGACCCTTGCACTGCACGCACACCGTGCGAACGGCGGGAAAAGGAGTCGACTGTTCACCTGCAAACCCATCGTGTGTTTACTTAAGCTGTGATACAGGGGTCGCCACAAGGCTGAAAAGCACTTCGGCGAGGTAGTTCACTAACGCGAGCGGCTGACGCGTACTCCCGCTTCGCCAGCGCGCGTGCTCGAGGGAGGCCGCACTCCGCGCCTTCTCTAGTGACTCCGCGGCAACATTGGCCTTGGCGTAGCACCTCTCGCAGCACGCCACCCGCGCTGGCGCCCGATAAGGAACTGTGCGCATCCAACCACACTGACGTCACGCGCCAGCATGTCCCGGCGCTCGCGGGACGCCTCCCCTGCCGCACGCGGCAACCCCCGCACCTACGCCTCGTCACGTGGCCGTGCGCCTTCTTCGGCAGCCGCCGACCCTGGCGACGCGCGCAGCGCGGCTTCAGTTGTCACATGTTGTCACGGTGTTGGATGACACTCCACCGAGCACAGCACATGAGTCCGGCGCCTCGAGCCTGTCGCCTCCCCTTTCTCCTGGCGCCGCCACGCCGTCGGCACAGCACCAGCCGCAAAGCCCCCAACCGGTGCACCACACTCCGCCACTCCAGCAAGATGTGCAGACCTGTGCCATATGCCTCGATGCCGTCATGCCGGAGGCAACCGGTTCCGGATCTGGCGTTCTCCATCCCACGTGTAGGCGCCACCGCCTGCACCTCACCTGCCTCGCGCAACAGCGCGCCCAAGCCAGCTCCCCGCATGACATGCGCTGCCCGGTCTGCGCCGCCGAGGGCTGGCCGCCGGCCAACGATGAGTGGCTCCGCACTGCTTGTCTGGCCAGGGGGATAGAGGCGCCCGCACGGCTGCCCGCCCCATCCACAGTGCGGCATGCGGTTGAGGACTACGCCACGCGCACCTTCACCGCCAACGACGCGGTGGAACCCCCAACACCGGAGCATGTGCAGGCCTTCTGCTGCCCTAGACTCGCAGCCGTGCGGGGTAGTGGCGGCGACGTTGACTTTGTTGAGCTGCCCCATCGCAGTATGCAGTGGGCACCCATACCAGTGAGGGGCGATGCAGGCATCCTTGCCTGGCGCTTATCGTGGGCGTGCCCTCGCTGCGCGCAGATGCTGGACTGGGAGCAAGCTGACGTCCCCGCTGCTGCCGGCGAGTGCTGCCTGCACTGCGGTCGCCCACAAGTCTGGGAGTTTGACGTCGGACGGGGCAGCGGAGCCTTGCGCTGCGCCTGTGCACCCGCCAATGCGGCCGCAAGTGGCCCTTGCCCACAAAACCCCGTCCCAGCGCCAGAGGCGCCTGCCGGAGACCCTGGTCAGCACAACGTCGCCCCTGCTTCAGCCTGGGGCCCGCCCTCCGACTGCCACAGGCTCGCCACGAACTCATGGCTTTACGTCCCCCTCCTGCATGCAGCTGCTGGGGACATGCCAGAACCTGTCCTAGAGCGTTGGCGCCGCGATCCACGCGGGCAGCCATGGTGGGATGCAGCACGCCGAACCCTTGCAACCTCCCCACCAGTCTCTGTGAGCCGCCGCCGGTGCCCCGCTCCCCGAGGCCGCATTGCGTGAGGCAGCCGCCTTGCCCGCGGGTGCTTTCGTGCATCTCGGCTGGACCGTGCGCAACCTTGCCCAGGCAGGCGGATACATTCCGGCTGCGAGCCAGGAAGCCTGCCTGCAGCTGTATGGGGGGCCTGCCTTCGCCTCTGACCTCAACCGCGCTTCTGATGCCTTCCGCCTTGTGGCCGCCCCAGCCACCGAGCCGGTCAACGCAGAGGCGCCTCAGACTTCCAGCGTGCACGCCCCGGTGCCTCATCAACCCACCGCCGATGAGGACGGCGATGCCAGTCTCGCCCGTGCTGCCCTCAGTGCACGACGAGGAAGTGGGCGTGGACGGAGAGGCCGTGGCCGGGGCGCCCGGGGCCGCGGAGCTCGTGAGCCCCCGCCACCTCCTGCGGACCACTTGCTCGCAAGCCAGGGCGAGGCCCGCGCTGACCCTGAACCGCCCTCAACGGCACAGCGCGCGCAGGTGTTGCACGCACGGCACAGCAGCGCTGCGGCTGACAGCATGTTGCGTTGCCTTTTGTCCCTCGATGCTGTCAGCCTCCAGGGTCAGTGCCAGACACGTGTCCTCACGCTGCAGGCCGCCCCCTCGCGCACTCGAGGTACCTTGCGTGCAGCCATGCGCTACGGCCTTCGCTGCATCGTCAACCCTGAAACACCCGAGCATGAGGTGCGAGGGTGGAAGCTGTTCTGCCTTGCACCTCGCATGCTCCTCCACCGCTCGCCTGGCCAGTCTAGCGTTCCCGCAGCCGAGCTTGACCGCCGCTGCGAGCTTTTCAGGGCTGGGGACTGGGCTGACCTGCTGGAGCAGGCCGCCGGCTGTGTCGCTGGAGCACCCAGTTCGCAGCAGGGTCGCTCGCCACCGAGTGATGGAGCGCGCGCTCACCGTGCCACCGCCCTTGTCCACCTCGGTGAGCTCTCTGCGGCGTCGCGCGCCCTCACTGCCGAGCCACTCGCGCCCGGTAACGATGACACTTTAGCCGAGCTCACCGACCCTGACAAACGCCCCCCGCATCCGTATGCCGCTTTGCCGGACGCGGTGCTTGCCTTCCAAGCAGAGCATGAGTGTCCCTTGCCCATGCCCGCGTTCCTCGCGGCCCTGCGCGGCGCCCGCCGCGGCTCTGCGGCCGGGCCGTCTGGCACCACCGCCGAGCACCTCCGCACCTTGCTTGATGATGAAGAGGACAGCCGGCTCCTCCACGCTGCTGCCCTCAGTCTCGTTAATGCGCGGGTTCCCCCTTGCGTCCTCGCAGGCATACGAGTCGGACGCCTTGTTGCGCTGCGCAAGCCTAATGGCCGCGTCCGTGCTTTGGTTGTCGGCGACGTCCTCCGCCGACTTGTCGGCAAGGTCCTCGCGCAACACTTCGCCGCACACCTGCAGGAGGCATGCTTGCCCTACCAGTTCGGCCTCAGCACCTGCGCTGGCACGGAGGCTGTCAGCCGGCTCCTGCGGGCTGCCACCGAGTCTTCACCGCGCGCCACTGTGCTGTCTGTCGATGCCGTGGGGGCTTTCGACCATGTGGCGAGGGGGTCCATGCTAGGCGCGCTCCTCGCGCGGCCGGCTCTCCAGCCTCTGCTCCCCTACGCGAGTTCTACGGGACTCCCAGCACCTACACGTGGCTCGACGACTCGGGGCAGGCCCATGAGGTTCGCCAGGGAGAGGGCGGTGAACAAGGCGATCCACTCATGCCGGCGCTATACTCCCTGGCGCAGCATGAAGCCCTCGCCCAACTGCAGACCCAGCTCGCGGACGGAGAAGCTGCGTTTGCTTTCCTAGATGATACCTATATCATCGCGCAGCCTGAGCGTATACAGCCATTGTATGACGCTTTAGCGCGCGCACTCTGGGAGCACGCACGTGTCCGCTTGCATGAAGGCAAAACCCGCATCTGGAACGCCGCCGGGGAGGAGCCGCCCGGCATCGCCGCCCTTGGCTCTGACCCTGACGCGCCAGTCTGGGTTGGTGACTGGTCGCTGCCTCCTGAGCGCCAAGGGCTCACAGTCCTCGGTTCCCCGCTCGGGCATGATCGATTTGTCGCCTTGCAGCTGCAACGCAAGCGGGAGGAACACAACAAGCTGCTGCAGCGCCTCCCTCAACTCGAGGACTTGCAGGCCGCGTGGCTGTTACTGCACTCCTGCGCCTCCCCTCGCGCCAACTACTTGCTGCGAGTATTGCCCCCGCACCTCACCGCCTCCTTCGCCGAGGCACACGATGACGCAATCGCGCACTGCCTCGCCGACTTGCCTGAACGAGGGGACGCGCCGATCCCCGCTACCAGCCTCACGACAGCCCGGCTGCCTTTTCGACTCGGAGGCCTTGGGCTGCGGTCCGCTGTCGCTGACCGCCACACCGCGCATTGGGCATCGTGGTGCGACACACTGCCCGTCATCCGCCGCCGGGCCGCTGCCGCAGCTGACCGCCTCCTCAGCGCGCTGCAAGGCGATGTCCCACTCCCGTGCGCTGCTGCCGCGGCACAGGCTTGGGCCCGCGTCTGTGACAACGGCTACGACGCACCAGCATGGTCCGCTGTTAGTGGAGGAGCCGAGGCACCCCCTGCTCGGGGACGAGGTGAGGAGCCAGCCGACCCTCTCCGCGGCTGGCAACGGGTCGTTGCCCGAGCTAGCGATGAGCGCATCTGCGAGTTGCATCTTTCTAACCTTCCCCCTGCATCTCGCGCATTGCTGCTGTCGCAAGCTGGGCCTTTTGCGGCCCGCGCCATCACCGCCTTGCCGACGCGGTACGATCTCACCCTCCCCAGTGCCCTGTTCCGGGTGCTGCTCCTCCGGCGCCTGCGCCTGCCCTTGCCACTCGCGCCTCGCCACTGCCGCTGCCATGGACTGCTCGACCCGCTTGGCGACCACCGGTCCGCGTGCGCCACATCCGGCGTGCTTGCTAGCCGAGCTCTCCCGCTCGAGCACGCTGTCGCCCGAGTTTGCCGCGAGGCTGGGGCGCGGGTCGCGAGGAATGTGCGCCTCGCCGACATGAACCTCGACGCGCCAGTCGGTGATGAAAGGCGCATCGAGGTCGTCGCCAACGGCCTCCCTCTCTGGCACGGCTCCCAGCTCGCACTCGACGCCACCATCGTCTCCCCGCTTACAAGGCGAGGCGAAGCCCATCCGCGAGCCGATGTGCAGCCGGGCTATGCAGTCGAGGCTGCCGCCAGGCGTAAACGCCGGGACACCTACCCCGAGCTCGCCCGGGCAAGCCGGTGCCGACTCGTTGTAGTTGGTGTCGAGGTTGGAGGCAGGTTCGGCGCTGAGGCTGCCCAGTTGCTCCGACTCCTGGCGCGCCAGCGAGCCGAAGCCGTCCCTGCCCACCTCCGCCCGACCGCCATCAACGCCTGGGTAGCGCGCTGGTCTGGCCTCCTTGCAGTCGCCGCGCAGCGAGCGTACGCTGCCTCGCTGCTTGAACTCCCTCCTGCTGCCGAGCTCAGCGAGGGCGCTGAGCCCGACCTGCATGAGGTCCTCGCTGACGCCAGGTGGCTCCAGGAGGTCCCGGCAAGCCGCTTGCCCCCACGCTAGCTGCAGTGTGGTGCCTTGAGTGCACCCTCTTCAGTGGTAGGCAACGGTAGGTCATCAAACTACTTTAGGTCGACCGGACACGTTCTGCCGTCGCAAAAAGGTGCGCCGAAAAAAAAAAAAAAAAAAAAAGAGCGCCGCAGGCAGCCGCTCGTTTGGTCCGCGCATTTGAGTCCTCCACCGAGACTGCGCTGCCCCTGTCAGCAGCACGGCACGCAGCCGCTTGCCTCCGAGAGCAGGGGTACGACGCTCCCGCCTGGGACTCCCTGCTGCAGGTACGGCCCGGGCCGGAGGAACGCGAGTTTGGGGAGTTTCTACGAGGCTGGCAGCATCGTGCTGCCCGCGCCAGCGACAAGCGCGCGCTTGAGGTGCATCTTTCTCACACTGATGCCGCATCTCGAGCACTGCTGCTATCGCAGGCCGGGCCACACGCTGCACGCGCTCTCACAGTCTTCCCGACCTCGGCTGAGTTGACGGTGCCGTCACCACTCTTCCGCGTCCTGCTGTTGCGACGGCTTCGCCTGCCCCTGCCAGTTGCGCCGCGCACGTGCGCCTGCCGCGGTCGCCTGGACCCGCTCGGTGACCACAGGGCTGCATGTGCGAATGCCGGCGTGCTCGCGTCTCGCGCCCTTCCTCTCGAGCGGGCGGTCGCGAGAGTGTGCCACGAAGCTGGCGCGCGGGTCGCCCGTAACGTCCGTCGCAGACATGAACCTCGATGTTCCGGTCTCCGATGACCGCCGCATCGAAGTTGTCGCGAACGGGTTGTCGTTGTGGCATGGCGCGCAGCAGGCTGTTGACGCCACCATCGTCAGCCCTGTGACGCGGGCGGGTGAGGCGCAGCCTGGAGCAGACGTGCACCCCGGGCGAGCTGTCGATGCAGCCGCCCGACGCAAACGTCACCAGACATACCCCGAGCTTGTGCGCGCTCGTCGCTGCCGCTTGGTGGTAGTTGGTGTCGAGGTTGGGGGCCGGTTTGGCGCAGAAGCGGCGACCTGGCTCCGGTTGCTCGCCGGGCAGCGTGCCTCCGACGTGCAGGCTAGTATGCGGGCGGCCGCACGAACGGCGTGGGTTTCCCGTTGGTCGGGGCTCCTCGCAGTCGCAGCACAGCGCGCCGTCGCAGCTTCCCTGTTGGAGCTCCCGCTCGCGGGTGAGTGTAATGTTGCCGGGGAGCCGCCGGATCTGCACGAGGTCCTCGCCGACGTGCGTTGGCAGCTTCCGTCTGTTGGCAGCCGCCAGGGGCCTCGCTAGTGCTCTGGTGTGTGCGCCTCCGTAGGGCCCGGTAGGCACTTCTGTCTGTGACTTTGGGCTGCCGGAAAAAGGTCCGCGCAAAAAAAAAAAAAACCGGATCCGTCTCCATGAGGGCAAGACGCGGATTTGGAACTCCGCCGGCGAGGAGCCGAATGTCATCGCCGATCTCTGCGGCGGGGGCGGAGCCGAACTTGTCTGGGTCGGGAAATGGTCCCTTCCGCCGGAGTGCCAAGGGCTGACCGTGCTCAGTTCCCCACTGGGGCACGATGCCTTTGTTGCCAGGCACCTCCAGAGCAAGCGCGAGGAACACGACCGGCTCCTCCAACGTCTCACCAGCCTCGACGACTTGCAAGCGGCCTGGCTGCTGCTCCAGTCCTGCGCCGCCCCGCATGCCAACGACCTGCTGCGAATCTTGCCCCCGCACCTCACCGCCACGTATGCAGCAGCTCACGATGCGGCAGTTGCCCACTGCCTGGCCGCGCTCCTTGAGCGCGAAGCCGCCCCCCTCCCGGAGCGAAGCCTCCGCACTGCCCATCTCGCGCAACGATTCGAGGGGCTTGGCCTGCGGCCTCGGACCGCTTCGCGGCGCATTGGGGTTTGTGGTGCGATACTTTGCCCGTCATTCGCACGCGTCCCCGCTGCAACCCAAAGCGACAGCGTTTTGCCCTCTGCCACCGCCGCCGTCCTCGCTCAGGCGCACCTGCGCGCTCTCGGCTGCGATACCCCTGACTGGGCAGCCGTCTGCGCCGGCACTGCTGCCGCCCCACCGCCGCAGAGCGGCGGAGAGGGTTGGCAGCCCTAAACCCTAAACATAAACCCTACCTAAACCCTATAGCTGCCCGCACCTGTGACGCGCGCTTCTGAGACGCACCTGATATTGACCTCACACCCGCGTCTCGAGCGCTGCTGCTGTCACAGACTGGGCCCTTCGCTGCATGCCCGAGCCTTGAATGTTCTTATCATCCGCGACGAGATCTTCATACCCAGCGCGCAGTTCCGAGTCCTGCTACTGCGCCGCCTGCGGCTTCCCCTCCCCGTCGCTCCGCGCCGATGCCGCTGCCGCGGAGAGCTTGATGCGCTCGGCGACCACCGCTCAGCCTGCGCTACCTCGGGCGTCCTCGCCACGCGCGCGGCCGCGCGCGCTCCCCCTCGAGCACACCGTCGCGCGGATCTGTCGCGAAGCCGGTGCTCGCGTCGCTCGCCACGTCCGGCTGGCTGACATGAACCTCGATGTGCCGATCTCGGACGAGCGGCGCATTGAGGTTGTTGCCAATGGCAGCCAATGGCTTGCCTCTGTGGCATGGCTCGCAGCTCACCTTGGACGCCACCCTCGTCTGCCCCCTTACGCGGCGCGGGGAGCCCCACCCGCTTGCCGACGCCTAACCGGGAACCGCCGTCACTGCCGCTGCCCGGCGCAAACGGCGCCAAACATACCCTGAGCTCGAACGAGCGCGGCGCTGCCGCCTGGTTGTCGTTGGCCTGGAGGTTGGCGGCAGGTTTGGGGCCGAGACCGTCCAGCTGCTGCGCCTCTTCGCGCGACACCGGGCCGCCGCAGTCCCCGCACACTTGAGGCCTTCAGCCACTGTCACCTGGATCTCCCGCTGGTCCGGCCTTCTGGCTGTCGCATCCCAGCGCGCCTACGCCGCCTCGCTCCTCGAGCTCCCACCCGCGGCCGAGCTTGGCGAGGGACCCATGCCAGAGCTGCATGAGGTCCTGGCCGACTCGCGCGGTGAGCAGCTGTAGGCTCCCCCTCGGCCGCCACCGATGGAGCCGGCCCCATTAGGTAGCGCGTCGTGTGCACTGGGACCGGACTTTCCGAACCTCGGTTGTCGTAAAAAGGCGCAAAAAAGAAAGGCCGTTAAGGCATGCAGCCCCAAACTCTGATTACCAAGAACGTCGAATGTGTGGTTCAAGCTGGGTGGGGGTTGCAGTCGTTCTTCTTGACTGTCCGTGGGCCCCAACAACCCCGCGCGTGCATGCCCTTCCACATCAACGGTATCCCGCCCAACTGGAAACCACTTCCATGCAAATCAGAAAGCTTTTCGGTATGCAGATATGAATGTGCATTGGCATAGGTACAGCATGTCATTAGAAAATGGATTAATGACGACATCCGATAACGTGCAGTTCATGTGCGGTCGGAGTTCTGTTGGAGGTGTTGTTCCTGACATGCAGTGGTTTGGTGAGAATTCATTTTTCCGAATCAGAGATCGCGAGAGATGCGGCTTATTGATTTGAAATAACCTTTGCTATCATGTGGGTTCGGGGCAATGCCGCAACCATGACTGTTCCATTGTGCAAGCCATTTTGGCGATCTCAAGCAAGGCTGCTGCGTAGCGAACGCGTGTACAGCATGGGTGCACAGGAGAGCGTCTTGATGGAGGAGCGCCAGGCCGCCGACCCTGACGGCAAGTGGCTTGTCGGCTCGCTCACACCGAAGTCCGAGTCAGCCAAAAACAATGCCATCGGCTTTGGCTTCAATGATTCCCCACAGCAAGATCCGGCTTCAGCGCGGGTTTTCGCACACTCCTTGGCATCGGGCACGTTCAAAGATGAATTTGTCGTGCAGCTGAAAGGTGTTGCCGACGTTCAATTCTGGCAAGGTGTTCGGTGCAGGTCTGATTTCGATCATTTGCATGAGGAGCTCGGACGAGAGCATGGTGGGGAAATCATCCAGCCTCTTCCCAATCGCACGGCGGAATACTTCAAGATGAAGCCAGTGGTTTGGAGCGTCTACATGCACGAAAGCAGTGTAGGCTTGGAGGACTGGCTGAACCAAGTCATTGACGCAGGCTTTGGCCGCGCAGGGTCCTTCAAGAGGTTCCTATCGCACCAAGCGACCCAGGGGCCCATAGGCATCCATGGCTGGGACAGTGCCTCACACATGATTCTGTCCCTGCCAATGCTGGACGATGTGATCAACTTTTTGGAGGAGCCTCTCGATGTGGCACACTTGTGCGAGCTTTCGTCGAAAACCATTCTCGAGAACGGCAAGCTCTTCTGTGCCAAGCAGTGGGAACGCATGTATGCTGAGCGTTGGCCGGCATTCCATGAAGCCCAGTGCCATATGTCAGAAGTAACTCACATGAAAACGGATTGGAAGTCTGTGTTTCTCGGCAGCAAACACGGAGCGCAAAATACAATTGTAGCATTTTGCGAGAATAGCGCGTCGTTGTGAGCTTGGAAGGTACCGCCACACCTGCTCTGGAAAGTACGAAGCATTACTGGAGGCTCCCTGCGATGTAGCTACGTAAGCAATTCTGTCGGCGTGTATCCTTCCTGCCGCACTGGTGACTTGGGCGGGAGGTGTACGACCGGGAGAAGAAGCTCGGATTTGCCATGTCCTGCATGTTGGCCAAGGCAGCGGTGCAGTGCCATTGACAGTGCTGTTTCCATCATTTGTCCGGTGCATGTGTGCTTCAGATTCCAGCTGACTGTCGCACACGTTAAGTTTCCTTACTTTTAATCCTGGAAGCAGGCGGACAGACTTGCCCGTCCAAACAAACTGCAGTGCTGAAGTGTATAGACATGTGCACACAACTTTATGAATCAACAAAGCAGGAAACAAATAAGTAGATTAATGAAAAAAGAGATGTATGTATATATTGATGTATACGGACCATATGGAGATGTCTATATGAACTTATGTATGTAAGTACATACATTCCTATATTTAATTATTCCTTTATATCCACATCTATATTTATGTTTATATCCGGAAACATATCTATCTCCATACCCATGTCTGCACTTATGCTTGTCTCTCTTCCTTTATCTAGATCTCTAACAACTGTAGATCTGTACAAACGTCAATGTGTATGGATGCGTATGTATACACTTGTGTATGCATGCGTTTCTGTTACTGTCTATATACAAAAAAAGTATACTGTGCATGGCGTGCATAAGTACACACATCTTCATGCATGTGCACAAAGATGCGTTACTGTGTATATCTATGTGTATCTGTAAAGGTTTTGGCATAGGTATATCAATGCATTTTCGGGCCCACCAGTGCACAAACGAAAAGACCAACAAAGAAACACATAAGTGTACCATATCCAATCACATACTCCCTGAAATTGGGATGAATCACGGCTATGTGACACATCTCCCTGCTTCGCGTACCAGGCCATGCAGGAGGCAAAAATAAGTGTATGTGTATATGCATATGGGTTTTGTCTATGTATGTGTATGTATGTGCGTATGTATGTATGTATGTATGTATGTATGTATGTATGTATGTCTGTAATTGTCTGTATGTATATATGCTTGATTTTTTTAATGTATGTGTGCATTTCTGTGTGTACGTATGTATGTATGGCGAAGTTACTCACCTGAGATAGTGCTGCGTGATCTGGAAGTACTTGTAGGCGTAGGGCACAAGTGTGTGCACCGAGGTGCCGGTGCTACGGCACTGCCTTGCCTAGCCAGGCCGTATATTAGGGTACTCTTAACATGATAGCCTTATCTTGTCTACGAGTCTATGGTTTGTATGTGTTGTGTGTATGTATGTCATCTGTACGTATATATATATATATATATATATATATACATACATACATACATACACACACATAGAGAGTAGAAAGAGAGAGCGAGAGAGAGACCTGGAAGCCGCAGGTCAGTTGGGATGCAAACATCAATTGCTACATCACCAGCTACGTGAGCGCCAGCCAGGCCGTGTCACGATGCGCGCTGATTTAGGTTCGTGAACGTATCGGATTTCATTCGGCAGGTGCTTCCCGAGAAGATCCCATACCATGAAGGCTACAGGCTGCGATTCTGCAGGCCGTCGGTGCGCGAAGAGCTGAAACCTGAGCTCATGCCTCCGCTTGCCCCGGAAGTGTGCCTCAGCGCAAGAAGTGAATATGCAGTGCTTCGAGAATGTGTGGCATGAAGAAGTCTGTGCGTAGAAGCAAAAGGATGTTTTGTCCGCAAGGTATGGCTATCGTGCACCTTGGATGCATAGGCTCATGTGTTTCGCAAAATGCAAGTATCGATATCCAGTGCAGAGAGTGTGTGTGCGCTGATGCACCCAAAGGTTCTGCACGATGTGCCGGACCTCAAAGTAGGCCAGGGCCTGGAACTCCAGTGGAAGATGCAGCAAGGCAGCCCTTTCGGCTGGTGGTTCGGCATCGTGGAATCTGTAATGCGGGATCCCAACAGCACGAAGGCAATCGTGACCATGACTTTTGATCATTTTCCGGCCACTTCCAGGTGGCGCCGTTTACAGATTACTGTAGGAGATGGTGTAACGCGGCCATGTGCTATAGGAGGCTGGCATGGCGGTGTGCGAGCGGTGAGCCCATCGGAGAAGAAGGAATGGGCAAAATTCTTTCCAAAGGAACCGGTGATTTTCTGAGTACAGATCTCGGGGTTGTCGAGGCAATGCCATCGCAATTTCTGATCATCGCAATTCCATCTTGCACGCAGGTGTTGCTGCTGGCTGGTTTGATCCAAGATCTTACCGAGCTGGCAAGCGGCAGCAGCTAAAGTTGTTCGTTCGTCTTTACCGTACAATTTTCCATCTCAGATTTCATGGCCAGTGTTTGAAGTCCGGAGCTTGCAAGGTAAAACTTTGTATAGCATCCAAGACTCGCACGTACGCCAGGCGCGTTTGAAGTGCCACTTGTATAAAAACTCTCGACATCCAGTGCACAGCAAGCGGGGGTGATTGCATCGTTTGCGTTGTGAGGATTTGTAAAACTGTTAGTGTTTTTTGTGGGCTGCCCGTGTCTTGACGGGGTGACAGCAGCACGCACAATTAGACATCCCTCGCCAAATTTAGCCGTGATGCGTAACAAAGCATCAGCATTCGGCTTTCAAAAGCCCAGTTGGCTGCAAGAGCACGATCACCGGGAGAGCGTCGTGAGTCATGGGAGAACATGGCTAGACGACAATTTTTGTACCTTGAAGCCGATTCTAAGTGATTTTGCTTCTTGTGGCCCTGTGGCTCCTTCCAAGCCTCTGCTTGGAGCGAAACAGACAACGGACGCGGTTCGACACAAAAGGTACGTGCACCTTGTGGTGCAGGAAATCACTGGGCATGGAGCAAGGCTTACACGTAATTGCCGCATGAGGCGCCCCCGCCTGCTTGTTGGGTGTTTTGCTCAGACCGCTTGGAGAACGGGGCCCCCGATGCGGCCTGTTAAGCATGCCCAAGTCTTACATGCCCGTTTGCTTCAGTTTGTGTTTCTAATTGAATCTCGGCATGAAGCCTTGCCACACTTGAAGCCCTTCTGCAAGGTCTGGCCGGCGTGGATATGGAAGCAAACTCCCCCCTGGAGGGCTGCCGCCCATCGTAAGGCTGCTTTCGCCTCCTCGGGAAGTTTCTTCTCTCCGAGTGTTGGAGTCTCTTTGAGATTTCAGGGCACAAGGGCGATCTGCACATTATGCTTTGTGGCTTGACAGTCTAGTCCAGATGCGAGAACGCAGGGTTTATGAGGTAGCCGCCGGCCACAAAGCCAGACATCCAGAAGCGCTGCCTGCCCTTGTGGGAGCGTGCGAGTCGAAAGCAAAACTGCGCTCCCCAAAACCTTTAAGGCAAGACCGAAACACGGTACAGTTCATTCGTGGCTGCATGTCTCTGTGCTACAGGGCACCGGAAACTTTGCAAGGTGCCCAGTGTCTTGAAAGTTTCTTCAGCTAGGGATCTTTTGGCTTCGGCTTCCGAGTTCCGCAGTGTGCCTACTACGAGAAAGGTGCAAGTAGGAGGTTCGTCGAGGTTTTCCGGAGGTGTCGTTTCGAACGGCCATCGCCGCATCCCTGCATGTTTCAATTCCTAGGCTGGGGCAAAGTCCACGGATTCAGAAGAAGAGCTGGAACGTTGGCCGGATGCTCAACATGCTCTGATTTTTCGTGGGCGGAGGCAGTCATAATGTGTCAGAACCTGCAGAAGGCCATTTGCACGGCATGATGCGGAGGTCATGATGCCATGTCTGCCGCATCTGTTTGGCTGGACAACGTCGCGACCCAGGGGAAGCGCTCAGACCTCGGTACAACTTTGGGGGGCGCTGAGGGCTCGGCAAAGCCATACCAATCCAGCACCGAATAACCCTAAACCCTAAACCTAAACCCTAAATATCAGGCAGGCCCCATGGCGACTTGCTGGTTCTTTCGCTCTTTGTACCATAGGAATTGGGGACCGGGTCACCGACGAGCCGGTCCTCTATAAAGGCGATGTGCGTGGGCCCTGGCTTTGGTTCTGCTCCGCTTAAAATCTCTGTCACCCGAGTGGAAAGTTGTTCGCTGCGTCCCAAGGCTGTATTTTCAGGGGTTTCACTGGTCACTGGTCCATGGGAAATAAGTGTGGGATAGGATCATGACGCTCTTGTGTCTGGAGGGCTTCGTCATGCCTTTGCGGCCGATCTGAGGTCGCTAAATTCGCAAGACTTGTTTCGAAGTGAGGTCGCTGACAGCACTGAAGCCGTACAATTAAGTGGACGTCAAGCTTGGCCACAGCAAACTACTATCCCCCCACGTCTTACACCAATGTGGTTTGGTAAGCCACCGAGAATCAGGAGCCTTCGCGACCTCAGAAAGTTTGACCTCCCAGTCAGGTGCGCTGGGTCCATGGGTCATGATCAGCCTAAAGATCCTAAAGTATGTCTGCATGCTCGGACGAACGTGTCGAGCCCGGAGGCGTCTCATTGCTTCCACTGGCGCTCTGACTGCCCGAGAGCTGCACAAAGCCAGTCGCACGGATGAGGTGACCGGCATCGTTGCTGCATTTCAGGGTCTAAGGCCCAAGGCCTAGGGGTTCATCCATGAAGTCAGGCCTGGGCGTCGTCTCTCTGAACTTGGGAGTGTGGGCGAGGCTAAGAACTTAACTGAAGTGTGATGAAGTCTGAGTGCGGACAACAGAAAGCAACAGGAAGGAGCGAAGAAGGTAATTTTTCTAACCCCTGAGCAGCCTGCTCGAGTTGTTTTGCAGGGAGCCGCGGATTCCAAATGGGTTCCATGGGGGGCGGATGACCAGAGTGCCACCGTTTTTGTTGAAGGAACATTTTCTCCACACCCCGGAAGGGGCCGGACTGACCTCCGACGCAGCGCGCCGTGTGGGGGTAGGCTTACGGGCCAAGGGGTTGCGTGCTCAGCAAGCAAGCAAGCGAGAGAGGGAGCCGAAAGAAAGAGAGTCAGAGTTGATAGAGTACGTGTTGGTTCTGCAATGTTCTGCAGCATACCGATCTCGCTTCATCTTGTCGTTTCTAACCAAACCGAAGCCCAAGGCCTATGCATGTCCCGATGGCACAGTGAAAGAAGATCTTACTCCACGGAGAGCATGGCAAGGGAGTCCTTATTGACTCTGGAGCCTCAGGGTTGAAGCGAGAACACAAAAGCGGAAGCAGGAACCGAACAAAACCGGAATTACAGATGCTGAATATGTTCTACTGAACGGCTTCTTCTTGAGCTCCCAAAATGCAGGAGCTGTTCCAGCCGCTCAATAAGGACAGGCTGCAGCATTGTCCTCTGTAGGCTGATTCTGTTCATGGTGTATGCTGATCGGATGTTCGTACTTATATAGATTGTACTAGGCCCGCGAGATCAAACCGACAGAGAACTTTTTGAAGTCCCGATACGTGGCTCAAGCTTGTCGATGCGCTACTGTATAGCCGGTGCAACGCACTCTTGTGCATAACCAAAGGCGGTTGTTCATGCTGCTGCATTGAGAGTCTACGCGATATGCTTCCCAAAAGCGTGTCTTGGAGGGAGCTTTGTTTCGACCGGTTGCCTAGAAGGTTTTTTCTATTGTCGACAGCCACTCAGCCACTGAGCAGATTTCTCCTTTCGATGCCATGCTTGCCGGGAGGTTGGAGCCGGCAGTGTCCCGAAAGTGCAGAGGTTCGAGCATGTGAAGGGCTCGCGGCCATCAAGGGCAATGGACTCTTCGCCAAGCGGCCCCTTTTTGAGGATGAGTTGCTCTTCGAAGAGGATCCGGTTTGTGGCATGGCGATGCTGATGTTTGACGACGCCTCGTCAGATGGATTTTGTCAGCATTGCTTAGTGCTGCTGCCCGAAGATTCGGGGAAGGTTTTTTGTCCCCGCAAGTGCGGAGCACCATACTGCAGCCTTGCCTGCCGCGATGCAGCGCAGGGGGCTTACCACGACGTGCTGTGCCCTGCCGCCAACCCTAAATGGGCCAAGTACGTGCAGCGAGCGCAGGAGTGCGGCAACGAATATTACGTACTGGCAGCTCGAGCACTCGCGAGTTTGCGGAACTGCGTCCCTGTCCTTGCATCCCATGGCGATGCGTGGCAGGAGATGCCTTGGGTTGGATATGCAGCCCCACCCTGGTGGCAGACAATGAAGCGTCCAGTCTATGACACGGATGACGAGTCTGATACCGCCAGCACCTCCGAGGATTTGGATTCGGAAGCTAATGCTTCCCTGGATCGTTTCTTCCAGTCTGCAGTGCGCACGCAGACCTCCGAGATGGCGGAAGAGCTCTCGACAGTTCTGGCGGGATCGAGTGCAGCAATCATGGCGTTGTTAGCTGGACCAGAGGCCTTGGGTCGACTCATGGGGCTTGTGAGGGTGAATTCTATGGCCGTCCAGTCACAGAGCTGTGAGGATTCTGAAGATGCACTGGCCAAGGGCATGGCCATATACCCGGTCACGTCCGCCATGAACCACGATGTAGAGTCGAACTGCTATGTTGCAAGCAATCCGCTCGAGCCCCAGCGCTGCTATGTGCGAACACGACGGCCGGTGGCTGCTGGTGAGGAGCTGTGCATTGACTACTTAAGTGGAGCTCCATACAACGCGGAACAGCGGCGAGAAATTTTGCAGCATCAATACGGCATTCCTTGCTCGGCATAGCCGTCTCGACCCGCTGGTGCATCCGACGGCTTTGCTTCCTCATCGAGTGCTGAGCCAAAAGCCACATTCAGCCACTAGGTTTTTGCGTCCCTAAACTCGGTTTGCTGCCCACTCTGCAGGAGGAGCGCGAGATGAAAGTTATCCTCCAGTTGATCAGCGAGAAGGCCGCGCAGAAGCCCGCTCCTCAGCCCAGGCCTCCGAAACGAGGTGCTCGCTTACTGGTTACTGGAGTGGTGTTGGCATTCACGTTTGGGTCGAATCCTGTTCTGACTTGCTTGGATGCCATGCTACCATGAGCCTAGCTGACGTGCCTGCTCGAAGGTTTAATTCCATTCGCAGTGCCCTCCGGCATTTGGATGCCGACTGCGACGGAAATGTGGACCGGAGTGAGGCCACAGCTCTGTTCTTTGGTCTGGTGGATCCCATTGAAGCCAGAAGTTGAACAAGGGGCCTGTTGGGATCTTATGAGCAGCGTCCTTTCGGGGCTCTCAAGCTGACTCAAGCCTTGGATTCGTAAATGCTTCGAGACCTGGCATATAATAGGATTTGAATGACAGCCAGGCCTTCGCCCAAATAACCTCGACGAGAATCGCCCCTCAGAGCTACGAACTCTTGAACCTCGTCTGGTTCTCAAAGCTGAAACGAAGCTGGTGGCATTGTTGACAGCAACGCCTTGGCTCAATGGCAGTCTTTTTAAACAGGATCAGTGCGGAGCATGTAGTCATGATTGTTAGTCAATCATGCGTGCTGAGACGGAAGGTTTTGGACGTTAGCCCGAAAGCAGACCCCTAACTTGTCTGTGTTCCCTGCTTTGGTGGAGGGCAGGCTGTGCGGGGGTTTTCCGTGCGCAGATGTCGCAGTGCTTTGAACATGTGTATCTCGTTGTCAACCGTCATGCAGTTTTTCGGATTTGCGATGGGATCTGCATGGTTCCTCCGCGCACTGCCTGGCGGCCTGCTGCACCGTGAGTTTCTGTGACCTTCCGCTTGAGGCGCGCAGCTAGTCGTGATTTTTGCCCAGTGCCTCACACTCGCAGGTAGGATGATGCGTCTGGAGGGCGTCCGCTTCCGTGTCACCATTGATAGATTCAGTACTACTTAGCTGTGTCTTCTTTCCTTCGCTGTTTGTTTCGCCGTTCCAGTTTTGACTTTCCGTCAGCTTCGCCTCTGGCATTTCTGCATTGTTGTCGCTTCTTCCTCGAGCTTTGGCACCATTTGGTGACCTCCTGACGCGTTGTGCCAATTCTGGGGCAACCCCACTTATGCCGTGGATGCTTCGGCTCGTCTAAGACCCTAAGAATGCAGCCGTCTGTGCCACTGATGTCCTAAACCCGAAACCCCTGCAGAAAGTCGTTCACCATAATGCAGATGCAGAGGCACGGCCTCATGACGACACGTGCTGCCGCCCGCCAAGCCGTGCGCTCTCAGTACTTCTTCGTAGCGAACGACGAGGAAGCCTTTTCGGTGCCTGCCCAGAAGACAAGAATTCTGGTTTTTCACGTTTTCTTGTGAGCCTCTGACATGCTCCTCTCAGGGCGGTGCAATCACTGAATCACTCCTCAAAATAATTACAGTGGGTCTGATTGTCGTCATACCAAAAAATTAGTAGTAGTAATGGAGAGGCAGTCTCCTGCCAGTCTCTTACAGTAGAAGGGCCTGACATTTTTCAGCTCAGGTCTTCGGGAGGCAAGAAGTGCAGGATATCAATACCATCCGTCAAGTCACTTGGTGAGGATTTCAGAGGGCCAGGCAGAGTGATCGCGCATCCGGTTTTCGGTGAGGTGACAGATGTGGGATACCTGGTCTTCTTCTTGCTGGTCCTCTTGGTGATGGCCAAGCTTGACGCCGATGCAGTCTCCAAGGGAAACTGGGCGCTTGTTAAGGAACTTAGCTTAAGTTGCCAGAATACGGAAACCATATCATGTACGATAGATCTTCATTAAATATGGTAACTTACAAGAAGCTCTCTAAGATAGATCTTGATTAGATATGGTAGCTTACAAGAAGCTCCCTAAGAGCCCAGGAAATGTCTTGAGGCTCTCCGAGCCGATTGACTTCAAGGGCCGGCTCTGTGGCTACGATGAAGAGGCCGGATCTGAGGCATAAGAAGCCCATGCTGCTGTCATTGCTCAATAGCTGTTTTGGGATGTGGGAGTTTCCGAAAACTAGGGGTACCTTATTTTGGGGGTCCTCATAATGAGGATCCTACTATTTAGGGTACCATATTTGTGTCCCCTATTTTCGGAAACTCCCATGTAAGTAGGAAGGAAGAAGGGGTGCCCTATCAGGTGAAGGACAGGCCCCTGGGCTACCACCCGAACCCGTTCAACGACATGGTCATCTGCGTGTCGGCCTGCCCACAGACGGCCACCGATGGCACCTTCACCTTGCCCGATGGCCCCATGGGGAAGGACCGGCTGGGAATTGATTGTCTGGGTTGCAAGGCAGCTCAGTTTGCAGCCGTAGGTTGGCCGCTCGGCGCATAAGAGTGCACGGAAGGAGCACACCCGCCCGGCCTACCCGACAGACAACATCTATGGTCAGCTGTGCTTGCCCCTCGATCTGGAGCTTGCACGCCTCATTATCTCTGTCAAGAGTGTCCAGACAGAGATGTACAAGGCCCTAGGAGTGATCTTCACATCCTCGGACGGCATTTTAGTTGTGCTTGCGGTGCCTTTTGTGACATCCTTCATCTACTTGATCGCGCTGTACTATATCCCCACTGCTGCTACCACCCTCGCCTTCTCCATCACGGCCGTCACTTTGGCCTTGGTCGGAGTGCTCATGGATCTTGACTTGAATGTCATGAAAGGCATCGACCTCTTCAAGGAGACGCACCCGCTGATGCTGATGGCCTTTCCCTACTTCCGAACCTGCTGCTACCTGTCCAGCTTCTTGTTTTTCCTGGTCCTGGGCGCAACGATTTCAGCCATGGTGCGGGCACATGCTGTGTTCCGAGAATGTGTGGCTGCAATCTTTGATCCGAATGTCCTGGCCACGGTCTTCACGAGCGTGGCCCTGTCTGTCATTCGCATCGGGTTCATCCTGTATGTGTGCAGGCCTAGATATCAGAATTCGGATACAACAAATGCAGTCTTGCTGGCGTTAGTGAGCGGTTGTTGAGTGGTCGTGTTGGTGGTAGTAGGAGTAGAACAAGTTGTAGCACGTGCAGTAGCGGTTGTAGTTGGCGTGAGTCGTATGAGTAAGAGCGGGAGCAGAAGAGTAGCAGCGGCAGGATTGGAAGTAGGAGTAACGCCAGAAGCAGGAAGACGAGGCGGCGGTGGGAGGTGGAGGAGTAACCTGGGATGTAAACCACATTCAGAAGGTGTCCCTCTGTCTTTCCGTATCGCTCTTGATCAAAGAGTGTAGACGTGAGAAAGAGCAGCCGAGCGTGGGATTGTCAGGCGCCTGGCACTGCTTATGAGCATCGTGGAGCCCTACCAGGCGCATTTCGGGGCAACCTTGGCCTTCGTTTCTGTAGCTTCTGATCTTCCGTGGTCCGAAGATAAGCAATCCCTCCGCTACCTCTAGCACTACCAGTTGCTACTGCTACTGCTACTGCTGCTACTGCTACTGCTACTCCTACTACTACTACTACTACCACTACTACTACTACTACTACTGCTGCTACTACTACTACTACTACTACTACTACTACTACTACTACTCCCACTACTCCTAGTCCTACTCCCACTCCTACTCCTACTGCTACTGCTACTGCTACTGCTACTGCTACTGCCACTGCCACTGCCACTGCCACTGCCACTGCCACTGCCACTACTGCTGCTGCTGCTGCGGCTGCTATTCCTACGACGACACGACGACAAAGACTACTCCGACAAAACTACTACTACAAAACTAAAACCACCACCACTACCACTATCACTACCACTATCACTACCACTATCACTACCACTACCACTACCACCTTACCACTGCCACTGCCACTACCTCTACCACCACCCACTACCACTGCCACTTCCACTACCACTACCACTACTACTACTACTACTACTGCTACTACTACTACTACTACTACTACTCCTGCTGCTGCTGCTGCTATTACTTCTACTTCTAGCTCTAGCTCTACTTCTGCTTCTGCTTCTACTCCCACTTCCATTTCCACTACCACTACCACTACCACCACCACCACCACGACGACGACTACTACTACTATTGCTACGACCACCACCACTACGACTACATGTACGTGTATGTGTACGTCTACCCCTACTACAACTGCTACTAGTACTTCTGCTACTACTACTGCTACTACGACGACGACGAGTACTATCAGGAGAGCCAGGTTGGTGTTGTTATCATGCTGATGATTTTGTTGGAAATGCTGGTGATGAATCTGATGCGTACTGTGGATACTTACTGTTATTTCGCTTTGTTATTCGTTGTTCATCATCCTTCCTGATCCCCACCACCACTCGTTAGACTGACTTAGTATCTTGGTCGTAGTGATGCGCACTTTGCAGGTTGAGCTCCAGCTCTTCGGTGAGGTGCATTTCGTGGAGAGGACGGCCTGGTCCCCGTTCTTCTTGACGCTGGGCTTGCAAATAAGCTGCGATGTGTGACAAAGGCCCGGAGTTCGAGATCTCATTGACTGAGAGTTCTGCATTAGTCGCCAGGAAGTTGAGTCGTGCCTCCTGATATAGGGGCTTCCCAGTTCATTGGAGTCAGTCGCATGCTGTGCCGAGGTGGGGCGTCTTCTTCTATGTCTTCGGAACTTTCTGGATTCTCGAATTCCTTTCCTTCAGCAACAAATACATCACGGCGCAGGCTTCATGTACAGCTCGCAAAAGGTCAGAAAATCAAACCCGAAATCCCGAAGTCACCCCTAATGACCGAGAAGATTGCAGCCTTCTTTGATACAGGCCACGGGGGAAGGCATGGTCTGGGTTGAGAGGTTGTTCATCCAAGAAGGAGCAGGGGCTGAAGCACGAAATTGCTAATGTTTCGGCACAATTAGGCTGTGAGTAGTACCAATCGTAAAAGCAGCTAGCAGGAACAGTAGCAGGGGGACAGCATCGATGCTTCGGGACAGGGCGGCAACGAGCACTTTGCCTCGTCCCAGGTCCACAGAAAAGACTGATAACCGGCTGTTTGCATGCAAAGCATAAACGGTTTACCCCCCAAACCCGAAACCATGCCTCTGCCATCCTCTGCCAAGGCTCCTCAGCAATATTTCGTTTGAGGATTTGATGCTGTTGGTCTTTCGTGGCGTCTGCCTTCAGTTTGTTCGTAGACGTTGTATCTGCAGATAAGCATCGCCCTACATGTTCTTCACCTCAACCAATTACAAACTCAGAACCTCGGCTGACTTGTTCGATTGTGATCGCCGAAACCCAAAACCCTTAACCATACACCCGAGACTAAGCCACTTTCCAGATCCTCTGTGCCAACTACTTCCACCTCAAAGCCCGGAACCTGCAGATGCAGGCCAGGCCCAAGTTGCAATGGGATTTACTTTCGGTCCCGGAGATCTGCAGATTCACGGAGTGGGAACCTGAGCAGGCAAGAGCACAAGTTGAAGTCTTCTAACGTTCTTGACCACTGGTTCCCTGAAGCCAGTGCTGAAAGGCATAGGTTTTGCTTAAGCGAAAGGCCCTACTTCGTGACCCTCTAAGCTGGATTGATAGCTCGAGACAGAGTACGAGCTCTGGCATGAGAACTACTTGACAGGGGGACGCGTTAGTTTCAGATGACTACGTGCTAGCTGTGCGTCTTGTTTCACGGCTGTAGACCTGTCCGAGCAATGTGGGGAAAATGTGCCAAGTCAACACCTGAAACCTTAGCGCCGCAATCCTAACAACTGGGACCTTGCAATGCCCCCATACCGACTGCCTCTCAAGAAATGGACCCAGGAGTTTGTGGAAACCCGATATCCTGCAGGAGATTGGCAGCGGCAGACCCGCCCCCATCCGCTACGCCCTGTACTCCATGTTCCGACACCTGGCTTTCGCAGTTTTGGTCGTCGTCATGGCTTCTTGAGACTTCAGGTGGTCGTGGGTTCTGGAATCTGTCTCACACTTCACATTTCGATGTTCAGCGATGTGAGCGTTTCAAAGTTCTTTTTACGGAGGATTTCACCTGGGCAGCATCGCCCGGGCCGCTCTGATGTCGGCTCCATGCCGGTTTCTTCGCGGCGTGTGACCCGGCCACGTGGGGTGTCTCCTCTGTTGGGACGAGCTGTCGTGTTGGGAACAGGGATCTGGGAAGCTCTGTGGCTTTGGGTTTTCACAGGGCTTTGGCATGATCAGACTGGCACGCTCTGAAGTAACAGCAGTTCAGAGAAAAACGGGCAATGCCCAGACTAGTTGACAGGCCGTTCGGTCGAAGTGCTGTGCTGTCCGGCTTTGGGCAGCAAGCCGAGGATACAGATCTTCGTTCCAGACCGGCCAAACTTGGACAAGTCCCTGAACCAGCAATACCGCCTCTCGGCGGATGGGTTATGTAGAAAGAGGTTGGGTCTGGGGCTCGCTGTCAGAGTATTCGGAGTGTTGACCGGCCGTGTCCCGAAGCATCTCAGTCAGGTATTGCCTTCTACCTCTTCTGGCCTTTGATTCAGATTGACCTGTACATCCTTCGCTTCTACAAAGACAGCGTGCTCGTGATGCTGGCATTGAAGGGCTTCAAGTACATGGATTCTGCTAGACGGGTGGAAGGCTTGCTTAATCGGTCTCGGGGGAAGATCCCTCACCTCACGAAGTTCACTTCCAGGACGTCGAGCCTTGCACAGTCGGTCCGCCTGCAGTCCTGAGTCCTGACATCCTCATACTAGGTGCACGCCTCCGAAGCTCGTGGCAAGCCAACCCAGTAGACTCCGACCCCTGCCCAGCCCCGCCGACACAGGATTGAGGCCTTCCTGAAGGGCAGCATGGGCTTCACGAGCATGGTTTGGGCTTTCTTCCTTTTTCGGGAGCCACGGCAGGGTGCATACCACCAGGTGGAAACTCTGAGCATGAGCCTGGCTTGCATGCTAGTACTAAGATTTTTCAGTGGAGTTGGGGCAAGGGCACCGGAGCTTTTTACTTTGGAGGTTTTGTTGAAGAGTGATACCTAAGAGTCAGACAAGGAAGTCATCCATTACCCAAGTATGGGTTACTCCGGAGCATTCACCCCTTCTGGCGATGCCAGTGCTCTTGATGTTTGGCTTGTGGGTTGGTGACGGCATGCTGCATCTAGTGACGATGTCCTCGAATGCCTTAACGATCTGCTACTGCATTGACGTGGAGATGGTGGGTGGTACAGAAACCGATGCCCTCTACGCCCCAACCGGCCTAAAGCTGGTCTACCGAGATTTGGGCGGAGGCGAGTCTGAGCGCGAGCTTGCAGAGCTGATGGCAAACAATGCCATCATGCAGTAAAGATCAGCAAAGTCAGGGATCTCAACATGGGGTCGCTTGAACTTAGCAGCTTAGCAGTGCAGAGCTTTACTGGGTGCCCAAACGAGGCGCGACATCCCTCTCGGGGCCAAAGAGCTTCGTGCCAGGAAGCTTCCAAAGCAGAAGCTGCCATGCGCCGTGCTGCTGTTGCAGCAGCAGAAAAATACCTCTTGGTCTTGGGCGTTCCATAGTTCGATACATGCGCATGATCACCCTTGTAGGGGCAACCGAGAAAGCCTGTAGACAACCACCGAAAAAGCTCAAGATGTGAAATTCGGTGCCGCACACCACACGGTACCCAAGCGCTTGGCGCCTACCGGTTACTCTGTTGGCAGGTGTTATGCGGGAAATACCTTCAAGATATGCCACACCCATTTTGAACACACCTTTGAGACTCCGCATGGTAAGTGGGGTTTAATTGGCGGAGGTTCGATTCTCAGTGGTCTAGCAGATTCCAGCGGCGAGCGGTGGGAAGGGACGACGGGCTGCTACACGTAGATCTCACGATTGTACAGTGTACCTAAACCGTTTTTTGGTACGGAAGTGGCTTAAATTGAGGCGACCTGACCCTGCAGTACTGGGCCGACAGCTGTCAGAGAGAAAACTAGGTTACTGGCTAAAGTTTAGATGCATTCTTGAATGATTTTAGGCCCTACAGTTTGATGAGCTGATCCATTGGCAGGACACCATACCAAATCTCGTATTATAGCATGTCTCTCCGATTTTTACGTCCAGACTCTTTTGGTTCTTCGCCGGCACCAATCTGCATGATGCAGTATAGCATACGATGTCATATTGAACATCGCAGCACGGCAGGTGCGACATTTTTTCCGTGGCTACAACTTCACGGAAGAGGTTGCAGACCGTTTCTTTGAGTACTTGGACAAGGCGTGCCATCGTCGCACGATCGTGTTTGTTGTGGGGCTTGCCGGTTTCGCGGGACAGTAGGTAATGTTTCTCCGCTTGTGGGTTGGGTTCTCTTTTACACCAGCATGTAGGCGTTCGACAGGCTGGCTGAGATGCTTTCGTCGCAAGAGAGGAGCAGTAGTGGGCTCAACGGATTGTAGAAAGGTCGACTCCTGAGGGAGTAGGGGTACCTTACCTTGGGGTCCTTATAATAAGGACCTTACGATAAGAAGACAGGAGTTCTTGAACTGGTTTAGGGCACTACAAGGTGCCACTTTTGCCGCGGCCTCAAAGCAGCCCGGAGAGGGTCCAAGCCCATCCATGCACAGGAGAAGAGGGGCATGCTGGACTACGCGAAGTTTGCCCGGAGCTCGCAGGTGTACACACCCCGACCGAAGCCTCATCGAAGAAACGGCGTCTCCATCCAGTGTATTCCAGTGTATTGAATATTGATTGGGCTGGTATAGTCTTCAATATCAGGGACCGCGACTATGAGAAGTAGCTTTCAGCTAGGCTGGGTCCAAGGTTGGTTTAGGGACGTAGGGCTACCCAGAGAGCCCAAGACACCTTAATCAAGGAATATGGCTTAAATTATATAGGGCTTCGTATTATGATTTAAGCTATATTCTGTCATATAGGGCTTCATATTATGATTTAAGCTATATTCCTTAATTGAGGGGTATATCGCCTGAGGTGAACTTCATTCGGCCCTTTCTGGAGGGCGCGATCAATGGCACGCCCTTGACAGCGCGTGCGGCGCTCAAGTCCGACGTGTGATGTCGAAGTCCCTTATCTTCAACCCTTAACCCTAAACTCCCCAATGTCTATAAATCCCTATCTTCAACCCCTTAACCCTATAAGCTCCCCGATGTCTAAAGCCTCAAATATTTCAAACACGCCGAAAACCTGAAACCGAAAACCGAAAGAATTTCCTGCGCCTGGTCGGTTACATTTGTAGCCGACCATGATAAGCTTGAGTTGCATGCACCCTTTCGGCAGTCTGCAGCTGATGTTTGAGCCCGGTGAGCAAGCCTTTTGGATGATCTTTAGTCTTTGCGCGTTTGCAAGCCTTGTGCGCAAACTTAGAAATGTGTAGTTTCTGATGGTTGCCCGTCAGAACCTGTGCTTGCGACAGGGAGTACGTAGATCGCTGGCCTCGCCCAGAAGCCCCGGAGCCCAAAATCCGAAGCACTTAAACCCTTGAACCCTTAGCCCTAGGCGCGAATGCAGGAGGCAACGCAGCCCGAGCTCCAAAACCCGAAAGCCCAAACCCTTCTGAAGACCAAGAGGAGATCTCACCAGCTGCCGCGGTGCGTGCCAGCCTCGGAGTGGTTCTGGTTGACATTTCGGGAGTTTTTACCGGGTTTTGTTGGGTTGGGCTGTGTAGGAGTAGTGTAGTCGTGCCACGCATTCAGGTCAGTTGAGGCTGAAGTTTCGGTTGTTGACATAAGCTCACAGTGGCAACGATGTGAGAATCGGTCGCCAGAGGAGAATCGGACCGTGTGGTATCTGATGATTCGTGCCGAAAGCGAAGGAGCCTAAACCCTAAACGAGCGTGTGCTCGAGTCGAAACCCTGCGTATCATGCTGTACAGTTTGGATTGCTGATTTCGTTTTCAAGGCAAGCATCTCAAGTGCGGGTAGCAGTCGTGGTTATTGTAGAGTAGTACGTAAGTAGTAAGCGCAGAAATTCGGAAGCTGTGCCTGCCCAGTGCAGATGTGCGCGTCAAGACCAATCTCGATCGTAAATCTTATGTATGCCCCAGTCGTTCGAATCCAACTTCGGTGATTGCTTCGTTCAAAGCTCCGTCGTAGGCCAGATTCGGTCCTGGAAGACATGCTGGAGGTGGGGAAGATGCGAAGCATGGGCCTCTCTTTCTGAAGCGACGCAATCGACTTCATGGTGCTCACTCGGCCTCGGAGTTCTTAAGCTGCGGCTCGAGAGAGATTCTGCCCTACACGTAGCTTTCAATCCTTGTGAGATGGCTCCAGAGGCTTTTGCAACGGAATTCACAAAGGCTTTGAACCGCTTGGAAGTGCCATTCGAGATGACTGGCTGCCACAAGAAGCGTGCGCCATGTGGGCCAAAACCCACAGCTTTGCGGCCAGTCCGTGCCCGAAAGCTCCGGGTGCCGGCCGAGGAGGAGCGTGCAAACACTTTCGTCAAGGACCTCATCGACGGTGCCTTGGCAGAGGAAGTGGATGTTGCCGAAGACGTGACGTACTACGACGAGTCGGATGAGGACATCGAGGACGAGGTTGTGAGTCTTACAGATCCGAGCGATGACGAGGAGGAGGAAGAGAGTTTGGGTTTCGCCACTGTGGTGGCAGAGCGTGTCTTCCATGAAGCCTTCCTCCAGGACATGCGGATGGAGGAATCCGTGGAGGATGCTGATGACGATTTTGAGGACGATTTTGTGGAAGTGGAAGAGGCCGGCGACGAGTTTGTCATGCAGCAGAGCGTGGAGCACTTATGCGCAAAGCTTGGCGGGGAATTGCTTAGCACCACCGTCGAGGCTGCGTGCGGTGGAACGCTTGCTCAGACTCTGACGGAGAGTCGGAAGAAGTCTGAGATTGACGTGCAAACCATCGAAGCCCTTCGCCAGCAGGCCCGGTCCACGCTGGTTCGTGCTGCCCAAGACGGCAGTCTTGGGAAGGCGCTTCAGGAAGCTCAGGTGGAAACCCTACGAGTGGAGACTCGAGACTGTTTGTTGGCAGCTGCCCGGGACGGTCGCCTTGCTGCAGCCTTGCAGCGTACGATGGCGACCAGGGAGGACAGCCCAGAAGAGATCTGTGCGAAGGCCGCGGCGAAGACACCAGCCGAAGTGCTTACACAGCCTGAACCAGTTGAGCAAGCTGTCAAGGAGACTCATACCCTGTCCGACCTCCCGTTCTACTTGTGCCCCTCCGTTGGGACGTGGCTCAATCCCTTGCCGTTCCCGGTCCAAGTGCCTAAGCCTGAACCGGTTGAACAGGCTGTCAAGGAGCAGCTGGCCAGCCCTGCTGCCATTGCCATGCCAGACCTCCCGTTCTACTTGTGCCCCTCTGTTGGGACGTGGCTCAATCCCTTGCCGTTCCCGGTCCAAGTGCCTAAGCCTGAACCGGTTGAACAGGCTGTCAAGGAGCAGCTGGCCAGCCCTCCTGCCATTGCCATGCCAGACCTCCCGTTCTACTTGTGCCCATCCGTTGGGACGTGGCTCAATTGCTTGCCGTTCCCGGTCCAAGTGCCTAAGCCTGAACCGGTTGAACAACCTAGCAGTGGCGTGATGTCAGATCTTCGGGCGGCGTGCCGGACCAAGCGGCGCATCATCGGAGCTGTTGTTCGCGCGCCCACAGAGTCCAAGCCGGAGGATCCAAGAACGTCTGCTTCACCCAAGTCCAATCGTGCTTGGGTCATGGCCGGCTCTCCAGCTGCAGGCCTGCGTTTCAAGGAGCCCCGCAAGGAGTCCGATAGGACTCCCGAGGGTGCAAAGAGTTCAAAGTCCAGCATCGCGGCCATGTTTGAAGCCATGGGCAGCACCGAGCTCTACCGCACGGACGAGAAGTTCCCAGTGGGCAAGCTGACCATGCCTGGTATGTTGAAATCAGCGTCTGCTGGTTCCGTGTCGGCATTTGCCCTGGACCTGGGCACCACGGTGAGTTCACAGAAGGTCCTTGCCACACCTTTCACATCTTCTCGCTGCTCGTCAGTTGGTGCTTTGCGCTCCTTGAAGGCAGAAAAAGCTGGGAAGCCCGGCGGCACGCATGGCTTCGCTCTTCCTTTCCTTCAAAAGTCTGGCAACCATCTTCCGCACGTGATGTCGAAGAAGATGCAGGCTTGGTGCTCCGCTCCATCCACGACGCTTCAGATGAAATAGCCCGCTCAAGCGCGCATCCGTTTTCCATATCTGTAAGGTCCCAAAGGGATGAAACTATCAGCTTTCTCAGTTAGATCAAAGTATGCCTTAGACCGAGGTATGAGGGACGGAAAGAGCATGACTCATGACGGACGAAGTTCAGCTCTGCAGTGCTCTTTCATCCTCCAAAGCTCTTTCAAGATATTTTCTTGAGCGTTAGAAGAGAATGGTCGTCACGGCTTGCCGGTTATCCTGTCTTTATAGACTCTAGCCTAGATAGTCCGATCTGGTGGTGTTTCTGCTTGATCACAACGCAGCCGCGGCCGGGAGATCTTTGCCGTTGCAGGCCTCCCGTGATGTCTCCACGCTCCTTATGTTCTGGAACCGGTTGCCTTAGTGCACCGACAGCACGGCAAAGCAGGTCTTTTGCTAGTGGATAGTTGGAATTCGGGGTTCTGCCTCATAGAGCAGCAGACCTTGCGCACAGCAGCGTCGGCCATTTCAGATCAGTCTGCCAATACAAAGCACGTACTAAGCCGATGTGGCACAGGGATCGACAGGCCGGACGACGTTGAACACACTTCAAGTTGAAAACCATTGTTCCCGGGTACCGGATACATTTATCATGCGCAAAAAGACGATGGCCCGAGTGGCGGGGGCATTGTGCTAGAACGCGTGCCTGCACCTTGTAATGGCCAAGAATACGCACCTGGTGCGCAGGTCACTGAGGAGCGCCAAGACCGGCCGTGACCTCGGACTTGGCGACAAAGCGTGGCTGCTCGAGGTGTATCGGGTCAATGAAGTGGTCGCTGTCTGTTTGAGCGCTGATAGTTAAGATGCCTTGACTGCTCCCTTTCCCCACCCGGGCATAGTTTCAAATCGCATGCCATGCATTGCAAGGTTGCACGAGTTCGACGGAAAGTTTCAGGCTCAGCCCATGCAGCATGGGCTTTTCCTGAAATGATTGCTTTAGCGCATATTTGCCTTGGCAGTAGTATCAGTAGTAGTTGTGACAGTGATGCTTCCTGCATGTAGTGGAGCTATGTGGAGCTGGTGTCAGGCACAGCTACTATTATGAACGTTCAAGTTCTTCTATTGCCGTGGTCATCATTGCTGTAAATGTTGTTGTGTTGCGAGGTGTTGCCGTTCTCATTAGTACTCCTCCGCGGTGCCCTCCTGCCTCCTTGCCTGTTGCTGCCAAAACGAAGACGAAACCTGCAACCCGTCATTTGCTACCCAATTTGTTTCAGGCTTGCTGCCGTAATCGTGGTTATGATGATACTGTCTGCATTAATTATTAATGAGTTCGCAGTTGCTTGGCACGGACTCGCTCTTCTCACAGTCGCCTTGCGATGATACTAGCATGATTCATGATGATAACCTCGCCTAGTCCGGATTTTGGTATACACACAGTGGACCATCAAGCCTACACTCCCGATCCTAAGATCCCCGACTTCCGCGAGAAAGGAAACTGAACAAGTTCAGGGCCCTCTGCAACTTGCATCACCTTGAAGCCCGAACATGAGCCAATCGGAGCTGCTGGTATGAATCTTAATCCAGTGTGACTAGTAGTATGTGCTTGTCAGAAGTCGGCATCAGTCCAGGCCATCGTTGTAGTCTTGACAGATGGGTGGTTGTCAAACTTATGGTCCCTTTCTGGGGGTCCTTATTATAGTACGGCCCCTAATATTCAGGGTATCCAAAAAGGGGCCATAATTTTGACAGCCACCCAGATTCTGTTGGAAGGAGTCCTTGCGCATCCTCACCAGGAAGGACTGGAGCCCGAAGTTTCCAACCGCTTTGAGACCTCTGCCTTAGGGTTTCGGTCAGGGTTCCGTTAAGGGCTACTATTTGGGTTATACTCTAGCGGTTATACTATAAGGGTTATACTATAGGGGTTTAGGGTTCTTAGTGGGCTGTCTGGTTCTGAGTGGGGAATGGGGGAATGGATTATGGAGACTACTATTGGGGATTATATAAGGACTACTACAGGGATCCATTCCCCCCTTCCCTTTTAAGCACCAGGGAGTAGAGCCTTGCCATAGGCTTCGAGGGGTTAAGGGTGTGGGGTTTATTTCGGCATAGGGCCTTGGGTTTAAATGAGGGTTGTTCCTGTATGTTACTGTTGGGTGCTGGCAATACCGTCAAGACTGTCGGTCTTGCACTGATTATGATCGTCATGGCTCAGTCGGGCGCAAGTTCTCCTATTGCTGTGAAGTAGCGTGGTTCTAACCCGTCGCACTTTTAGTGGCCAGCACTCGTCATTCTTTGTGGCTGGTGTCGGTACTGTTGCGGTGGTTGTCCCCACGTCTTGTTCAGATCATAACTTGCCCAGTGTTGCTGAAGACCGCGACCCGTGTGAACATAATGAATGCCGAGGTTATTCAGAAGAATCGGCTTATGATTGCTTAAGTCTTAGGAGCCTGAGGTCGGGATACTGAGATGCAGTATTCGCCAGCTGAGCAGAAGTGGGATATTTCATACCACACTATGAGCAGGTTTGTTTGAATCCCGATCGCTCATGCCATAGATATCCGTTACGGATTTTCCTGCTCTCACGTACCTCCTGCAGCGGGTTTTGCCAGGCACTGGATCGATTTGGCAGCCTTGCGAACGCCTTTCGCTTCGTAGCCGGGCCCCTGGCAGCTTTGGTTTTGAATTGCGGCTTGCGATTTCGGCAATCTTCCTGGAGAGCTCCATGTACTGCAACTCAGCTCTGAAGGTAGAGTCTTCGGAGGATGTGTCTCTAAAAGGTAGGCCTTATTCAAGGGCGAATTATGGGGTCTCTTGCGTTCGAGGGTTTGGGGGCCCTCTCGGGCTTCTTTCTTCCAGAGTTTGGACTCAGGGTTGAGGCTCGCAGCATTCAAGGCCAGGGGGTTCCATAAAAGGCTTCCCTAGGTTCAAGTCTGGGAGCTTCGTGCGGGACACTGGACCCTGGCTTTGGGGATCTTTTGGTGAAGTTTCATTCATGGGACACTCAGTCGCTTGAGCAAGACAAACAAGACTTTAGTCGCGTGGGCGGAGGACCTGGACAGAAACTGCAACATGACCAGGACGAGCTGCCGTCTTGTCAGGTAGCAGTTTTGCCTGCAGCTGCTTGCAGGGTGAACCGGGCAGTAGTCACAGCCATGTTCGGGGCAGCTGTTGCAGGAACGAAACGGAATACCTCTTCCGCCTTTGCAACTTGCCACCCGAGCGGGCCTTAACAAACTTATGGCTTGTTGTTGCTTTCGTGAATTGTTTGAGCGGCATGCCTGTTATAGCCCCTGTGCTGCTGCCAGGAATTGGCTGTGAAGTTCCATGATGCAGTCGACACGAACGGGTCCGGCGAGATCTCGTTGCAGGACTGCTATTTTCTGGCGATCGCTTTCTTCTCGGTGCCAGAAGGTGTCCGACGAGAGTCTCCCGTACAGCGAGTCCCTTCTGCCGCTATTTGCCCAAGGAGTTTCACGCTGCCCTGGCGCCTTATCTCAGTGACGAGGCTTCCGCGGGTAACCTCATCCTTGCAGAGCCGAGCCTCTTGTCGACAGGACCAGAAGCGGCAGCAGCTCAAGAAAAAGAAGGACCTGAATCCTGAACACGGTCTTCAAGGGTCTTTGCGACGTGTGTGGAGGTGGGTTGCCCTCCCGTCAAGTCCTCCTGGTGCTGGCTGTGATGCCTCCGCATTTGGGCTCAACACTTAGGAGACAGCGTCTCCCGTGTGTTTGCGGTTGCCATGTAATCCCAAAGCCTTCGTAACGCCTCCTTGCTTCAACTGTGCCTTCGTTTCACATCTTCTCCCGTGGATCCATGGCTGGCGTCGTAAACTGGGGTGGCCGCCGCGCCGGGGCCTCTGCGTAAGCCGAGGTTTGATAGCTGCAGATGTCTAACGCCTGTGAGCCAAGGCTTGGCATGGTGACCCCGTGCCGCCCCTGCCGGCGCAGCAGGTGGCAGCAGACAGTAGTGTCAGTAGTGTGAGCATGGTCCTGATGCAAGTATAAATGTGGTTAGCGGAGCTTGCTGCAACCAGAGGTGGTTCTTCTGGGCGGAGCTTCGTCGCCGGATTCTCGCATGCGCACCGTCCCTCAGGAAAGTCCTGGGATTCTAGGCCCGGAAGTTCGGAAGACTGTGTGACTTGTTGCTGTGATTGAGTTTCGTATCATGTGACGGTAGAGTCATCATGTGGATATGAAGACACGGCAGGTTGCCGCCCTGCCGTTCGAGCACCGCAGCAGACTCAGCGTGGGGTGCAAATTGCAGCCCCTTTGGCTTTTCCGGGCCGGTGCTCCGCGGGTTCGAGCATCGAGATGCTGGCAATCTCTGCAGTGCAGCTGCCGCCGCAATGGATGGAGAAGCGGGATTCTGTCACCTTCTTCGCCGTGGATGTGATCTCAGAGAGTGGTGCCTGCTGGAGGGTCATGCGACGGTACACCGACTTCCTGGAGCTCAAGGACCAGCTTGGCCATGTCAGCTCCTCCTTCCCGGCAGCACGCTTCCCCAAGAAGCATTGCTTCAGCTGCGAGGGAGAAAAGCTGGAGCTGCGACGAGAGGCCTTGGAGCTCTGGCTGCGGCGTGCCACCGAGCACCCGCGCAGCAGCGCCGAGTGGCTGGGACCTTTGCGTCGTTTCCTGGAGTCCGGTCGGAAGTTCGTGACATCCACGGAATCAAGCGCATCGGCACCCGTGGCCAGCAACGATCAGATGGAGGACGACACATTGTTGGAGGTGCTGGTGCCACCCGGTGTTCGAGGAGGTGGGTTGAAACGGTTGGCACCATGTAGAGCATGACCAGTCGAGCGTGATGAAACTCTTTAGCCACCTGTCAGGCCAACTTCTCACTGTCTCGATGCCAGATGGAAATATGAAAACCATCACCTTGCCCAAGGACGTTTTCACCCTTTTTGTTCCGCTTGTCATAGATTCACGAGTCTTTGGAGCAGTTCGAAAGATAACATAAGATAACGTAAGATAACACAATGACAAACCTCGTTCAGCCTCAGCCCGTCCCTTGGCCAGGACGCCGTGTGCGGCTCGCAGCTGAACTTTCGCTACAGCTACTCAAGACGATCTCTTTCACCGGTCGTGCCCAAGTAGTTAGGACTAGGAGTAGTAGGAGGTTTGGTTTCGCGAGTTGAACCACACGAATTCAAGACAGGTTGAGGATGCTTCACCACAAGAGAGTGCAGGTCCTCTTCTTGATTTGACTGCCCTTGCTTCTACTTGGCCTCTATGGAGGGGTCCTGCTCAATGGGCAGGCATGCAACTTCGCGATTCCAGCCGCATTGTGCATTAATAATTCTGGGTTGCAGATGCCGTGGTGACAGTGAGAAAAGGAGCTTGTGGCAGTTTGTGCGCTGGCCTTGAATATCTCACGGGGCTGTGTATTCCAGGACTACCTGCTGAAGCCCTACACTCCCGAGCCGACGACCTCAGCGCATATCTCGCTGTCGCACTTGTAGAGACAGAGTCGGGGCGACGGCGCGAAGTATGCGGTAAGTCTGAATCTTCAGAGCTTCCACTCCTCGCCAAAGGCAAGCGGATGAGGACCTCAGATCCGCAAGCAAGCGAGCCGGGGCCTCAGCAGTGGCATTTCTTCGGACGTCTCTGATAGTGTGGTGCTCAATCAAACAGGTGACTCGTATCAGGCACTGTAGACGACATCAGACATGCGATGGTACTTGTATCTTGGAGTCCTCATACTGCACACTACCTGAACATGCCTGGATGTGACAGCAAGAGATGTCTACCGTGGCATGTGTGTGTCTGTGCATGTGCAGGTCTGCCAGTAGACATGAGACACAGATGCGGCGTAGAGGCATACCATTTTTGTCCGTCCGTCTGTCCTATCATTGTGGCTTGTATAGGGGCTACTATAGGGATCCGTTCCCCCATTCGCTACCAAGCACCGGACAGACTTTTTGCAGTCTTGGCCAGCTTCTGCTGTGCTTGGACACTGCATGCCAAGCACTGCAGTCGCTGCAAGTTTGACCTGTCAACTGCCTCTTGCGGCTGCGACGAGCTCTTGTAGGTTCTGTCAGGGTAGCGGACAGCTGGCTGCATGGCTCTTTCTTGGGTGGACATCCTTCCTCATTCTTTGCTTCCAGGCGGCAAGCAAGGAGTGGAACAAACACGTGGACTTCGAGCTCAGGAACGAGCTGAGAAGGCTTATGCAGGACCTTTCCTGGGGTGTTTTCAGATCCGTCGCTGTATAAACGGCACTAAACCCCAACGCTCCGAATTCTGGAGTTTGAGCCCTCGGGATCTTCAATGCCTGGGTCCCCGGGGCCTAGTGCTTGTCTTTGCTGGGTGGGCTGGTGCTGGAAAGGGTGTGGACCCCCGGGGCGGCACTAAGAGTCGTTGGCGACTCGACGAGCACCCCCCTTTCCCCCATCCAGTTGCACTAGGGCGAAAGTGCCGTACATTTACATGCAGCATGCTTTACTCTCAGGAAGGCCATGATTGATTACTCTCAGGTGGTCATGATGCTGCCCCGGTATAGTCGAATGAAAGGCCCGGGTTCCTTACGTATGTCTGTTGAGAGTGTGCGTCTTGGGAGCAGTGCCAACAGGTGAGATTGGACATTCTTGTGCAGTCCCATCTAGGCTGAGCGGCAGCGAGGGAAAAGAGCTACCGACGACTCGCTGCATGAAGTCTTCGATACGCCCTTGGAAACAAACGGCCGCACGAAGTCGGTCATACCGGGGCGATCGGATGCTGAATCACACGGACGGAGCTTTGATAACATCATACAAGTACCTTGGGAGGGAAGGACACGGCTGAGTTATTGGAAGACACCAAGTTGCACATTCCTCGCGGTATGGTACGGCCTGACTTAATCCGCCCCACCCCCTCTCCCCCTTTCCACGGGTGGTAGCAATGGTGGTCCCCGTTTGCTGTATTTCGGGTCGTAGCGATGGTGCTCCCCGCATTGCAATCACCCACCCGCCCTCCCGCTCACCTGGGTCGTAGCAATGGTGCTCCCCTCTCCCACAACCGGGTCGCAGCAATGGTGCTCCCCACTCGCCGACTACCAGTTCATCTCACACGTGGAGGTCAGCATGGCGACTCTCCATTGCGATATCGTACTATTCCAGGTGGAAGTGGTGGTGCCCGTTGGCTCGGGCTATACCTTGTTGTCATCGGTTATAAGATGGTCGATCACAGTTGCGTCAGGCTACATCCCTGCTGGAGGTTTACTCCTGACACCCCTGTTAAACAGCCGGAAGCAGCATGATGCTCAGCAAGGCCCATCTCCTCAGGACTCCCGCCGCTTACCTCCTAGCACCGTGTGTTGAGGATGTCCTGATTTGTTGCAAATCATCAAACCACGGCTTTCGGATCGCATACTGTTGATTTCACACTTCCGTCATCTTCCTGCTGCTGCTGCTGCTGCGTTTGCTCTGCTTCGCATGGGGCCATGACGCTTGCGGAGCCCCATGCCCCGTTTGCGTCTTAACCCTTCGGGGCGGAGACAACGCGGGTGCCCGTCTCCTTGCCAGGAGTCGATTTCTCTCTCTCTCTCTCTCTCTCTCTCTCTCAATGCCTGGGTAGAGGTGTTGAAGCGGGTGGTGGGGAAGGGTAGTGCCATTTCTCATGTTGCAGGCAGGAAGTATTGAGAGCCAGACTTTCTTGTAGAGGTTTGGCGTTTGCAGGTGTGCGCGGTCGGTTTGAGCTGCAGGACGTGGGCGACAAGTTGCTCCTCAAGTTTAAGCATGTCCGAGATGCCTTTAAGCCGCTGAACTTGCAGAGGCCTCGGGCTTAGCATGATTTAATGGAGTCAGGCTGCTGAAGTTGCACTAGCAGCATGCTGTTGCCTTTAGGGGCTTTGAGTTTCGGATGTGGGTTGCTTCGCTTGCGCCTGGGCTCTTGTTTGAGTGCCCCTGCTGCTCTACTCAGTGGGTCCCAGGTCCTGGAGATGCTCTGAGGGGATCTGCATTCCCTGATATGATTCCCTTCGACAGCAGCTAGCAGTTTGAGCGGAAAATTTGAACCCTACAGTACCGCAGAGTCCGTGTTGCGAGAGTCCAGAGCCCCAGAGCCTGTCTGGAAGGCTGGGGAAGATCACGCGTGAGGAGATGCACAACTTCTTCCGAGGGTTTGGCCACCCTGAGGACGGAAGTGAATGCGGCTTTGAGGGCTTCTTGGTGTGGGTCAACTTGGGACTTACGGTGGAATGTCGCAAGGACACCCACAACCCGCAAGCCTTAAGTCAGTCGGCTTCTATCCGGACACGTGTGGGAGAATGGTGCTGGCTAGCAGCTGTTGCCTTTAATGCGTAGTGTGTGTGGCGATTCGGCCATCGTCCATCTCGACTTGTATAAACTCCGAACTTGTATTCTGAGCAGGAGGTGGCGGACAGAATATTCGACCTTCTGGACCAGGAGGGTCTCCAGATGTTTTGCGATTAACCTTCTAGATCTTCGATCCGTTGTGTGTTGAGCCGGAAACGTGGGCAAGCCTTGTGCCATGAATTGCATAACTCCGCTCTGTAGGTTACGTAGAAGGGTAGTGTCAAAATTAGGATCCCTTTTTGGGTACCTTAAATAGTAGGCGCTGCATTATAAGGGACCATAATTTTGACAACCACCTAGAATGTAGAGGTCATGGCGAGAGCACGTCCCGAAACCGCACTTCGCACACGCTTCGCATGCCAGGAAGGGAAGGGGGAGATCGAGTACTCTGTGTTCATGTCCCACTTCGAGTCCGTGCTCGGGTGCGGCATTGAAGCCAAAGCAGCAAAATTTAAAGATTCCGAAACCCTACAGCAAAATACCCTGGGCTGCAAAACCTGCACTTGAGACCTTATCTGGCTTGTGCGAGTCCCGAGAGTGTAAACACTATGTTAGACTATGTTTGTTTGCTGTCTGTGGTGTCTGACAACGTCTCATAAGACAGCGTGAACATTTGCCTCACCTGGACAGTAAGCCTATCAGTGCCGAAACCCTATGCCTTCCTTTGAGATTCTCTTCCATTGCTCCTTTAATCAAAACCCAAAGGGATGGTGGGGGTTTCCGCTGAGGGTCAGGATTGCTGGAAGCTCCGATTGCTTGGGGTGCAGATCCAGTTTTTGGGGTTCAGACTGTTCTTCCGCGAAAACCCACGGAACTAAAATCGAGTTAAGGTTCTAAAGCCCCACACCCCACGCTTCAAAAGACCGGAAGAATGCGAGCTTCGTCCTTGCTAAGTAGGACGGAAAAAACACCTCCACACCTCACACCCTCTGCCGTTGCAGCCCAAGCCCCTAAACCTTGGCCTGGCTCTGCCGCGTTCTGTGTCAAAAACAAAACCTTAATGTAGAGGCCTCAATAATTACCTAAGCCTATACTATTTTTGGGTTGTTGCTTATGATAAACATGGTATAGTATACCCCGAAACCTATTCTAAGTATTCAGGCCCTGATGTCAGTTTCTTAAGGCTTCAATGACATCATTCGAGCCTTGCCTTGCTAAAGGCACGATCTAGCGGTGCAGCTGGAAACTGCAGACCACTGGAATCCTGGTAGCTTAGCAGCTTAGTGCGTTAGGGTGTAGGGTTTCTGGGATAAAGGGTGCAGGGTTCAGTTAGTGGAGAGACCAGGGGAGTCCTGGCACTTCAGCATCCGAAGCGCGGGACCTGCGCAGCCCCGGATCTTCCAAGAAGTTATCCCCGAAGAACCCTTGTGAAGCCCTCGAAGAATGCTGGTTATTGAAAAGGTCTGACAGAAACCTGGTATGCACCCTAGGAAGCTGTTTCACAACCGGTAATAGGAGCTGAACCAAGCGCCACAAGAAGCTATCAGCCTACCCCTCCCCATTCCTTTCTGAACCCGAAACCCCCACTCCCCCCTTCCAAAGAAGAAGAATAACCACTGAGACCTAAACCCGAAGCAGGCGGGACTTCCGCAATTTGTCAGAGCAGCCCCCGATCTATTTGGAGGATCCCATCAAGTGCAAGGAGGCCAGAGCACAAGAGGGCGATGATGATCAACGTGATGGCAACCACCAGTATCGCACAGTGACACGAACGGCAAGCGCAACCCTGACGAAACTAGCAAGAGCAAGTAGCCCGAACACAATTAAGTTGTATGAGGAGTGACCATGGTCGAAACGACTTTCGTGGCTCCGAATGAAGACTTCCGTGCCAGGTCAACGAAACCGCTGACAGCCTGAAGCTGCCGCCTAAGAGAAGCTTCACCACCGCTGGTGGCAACGAAAGAGGGGTTGGCTTTTAGCACAACTTCAAGGTGCCATGTTTTAACGCCATTCCGGCTCCCTGTCATGCGCTGCTGAGTCTGCACAAACCCCAGCCTTACCTTTCGACAACTTGGGACTCCAGGAAGCGCTTGCTCACGAGGTCCAGGAACATGAAAGAGGCCTGGAAGACTTCGGCTGCAGCGTGCAGTCTTTTCAATCACTGAGGTTTAAGGAGGGGTGGGTCTTCTGCAGGCAGCTACAGAGCCCTGCTTCGATCGAAGAGTCGGCGGATAGTAACTTCAGCCCCGTCCGCCGGAAGTAAGCCGTTGCGGACCCTTTATGGGGACCCCTACCCTACCCTATAATGGGCTATATGATGGGTATATAATAGCTATATTAAGGGTATATACCTAGGGCTTGGTGAGTTCGGGGTCGGGGTCTCTGTAGGCCGCTGACCTTGGCCCGGCAAACAGTTGTTTTTGATTTGGCGACACATCTTTTCTGAAATTCTGCCCCCCCCGCCCCTTCATGCTAAACATCCCTGAACCCTCACAGTTTTGCATTGGAGTGCATGGAGTCAGAGCTGTACAGTGTGGGGTGGAAAGGAAAGGCCAATGTTAACACACTGATTGAAAATTGCGCAGAAGCAGTACTCTCCGCACATCTGCTCCCCTTGCTTGTATTGGTCTTATTTCGGGTATGAGCTTGTCTCGAATTTACGGGTTCTTGTTCAAGGGCCTTGTTTAGGATCTATAGTGAGATTTCTCTGTCTCCCGTAGCTTGGAGCCCTGAAGTGAAGGCGTTCCGTGCATTGGACTCCGACCACGACGGCCAGGCTTGTGTCCTCTGTATGTGGCTCTTTCTCACTTGCGTCGGGTGTAAAGGTTTAGGACTTCGGACTTGGGATGCTGCCAACGCAATCTTAGGCCAAATTTCAGTACTTCGGATGAGATGTAGACAGGACGTATGATTTCAACTCAGTTCTTAGGGGTCCCAGATCTCCGCGAGCCTGCTTGTCCGAAATCACCCCGCCGCCGCCGCCGCTCTTCCAAAATTGGGCGTTCTCAAAGGCTTTAGGCCTGTGGGGGTCAGTTTAGAACTTTCGTGTGCAAGCACACGGTCTCATGATCCCAGATGATTTATTTGCAGGTCAGCCGAAGCGAGCTTCGTGTGTTCGGGAAAAAGCACCAGCCCCAGACGAAGAAGTGACGGGATGGTGGTAGTGGTCGCTGTGGTGGTGCTGGTGGTGGTGTTTGTGGTGGCGGCGGGCGGTCGTCTTCGGGTTTTAGTATATAGTATTTCATCTTTAACTCATACTAACACTACTATAACAATAATAATAATTATTACAATTATTCATCATATCATGATTACCATCAGTATCTTCATACCCATCATTTTCATTGTTTTCATGAGTGTGATGACTACCGTTATCGTGTTCATAAGTATTGTTACTGTTCTTGATCGGGAGTAGTATTGTAGCAGCAGCTGGAGTGGTGGCAGTGGAAGAGCAGGAGGAGTAGCACGAGCAGTAGCTCAGTAGCTCAGTAGGAGCAGCAGCAGTAGCAGTAGCAGTAGCAGCAGTAGTAGTAGTTGTTGTTGTGGTTGCAGTTGTTGTTGTTGCGCAAGTGGAGGAGTAGTAGTGGTGGCAGCAGCAGCAGCAGCAGTAGCTTCAGCGGCAGCCTTAGCAGCATAGCAGCAGTTGTAGTCGTCGTCGTGCTCGTAGTCGTAACGTAGTGTGCGAAGGATGAGCAGCAGCAGCAGCCTTCAAAGGATTGCCAGTGCGGCTAGCACTTGTCGCACGACAACAGCAAGAATTGGCGCTGCTAAGTGCAGTACAACAGCAAGCACTTTGATTGCAACGACTCCTGCTGCTGCTATCCTGACACAAATGACAACAAATTTCTACACTACTGTGTTTGCAGCCGCGGCTTCGGCTAGCACTTTCACTGTGCGCTTGTTGACATGACTTCGCCTTTTTCACAGGGTCGGCGTTACCATGGAGTCCTGTGATCAGCTCTTCGACGCTTTGGACGTGGAGGGTGTCGGCTGCGCCACCACGCTTGGGGAGTTGGGCCTTAGTGTACTGGTTGTAAATGGTTGTAAGATATAACCCGGGTCACGGGTGGGCCCTTCCTCTTTTTCAGTTCGCGCGAAGCATCGTTTTCCCGAGAAGAGGGTTGGTGAAAGGCTCTCTTGACCCTTTATTGATTGACATGTTGGATTGCATATTGCGAAAGAGTTCGGTGGTTCGCAGACAACAGAGACCAGGCGAGTGTGCGTGCTGAATGCAATCTATGTGAGTTTGGTGTCCCCTTTTTCCCGACAACTTCCTGCAAGCATCCGTCGAAGCTCTCGAACTGCAGCCTCTGCGAGTGGGGTGGCAGGCTCCATCAACTTTCTACAGCTCGGGCCTTGTTCCACAAGAGTTTTTGCCATTCTGGATTTTGAAGTGTCAGAATTGTCTCCGATGTGCGGGCGATCTTCCAGGTTCACTCGGATATTTCCAGAGGGGAAAAACACAGGCACGTCAGAGCTGCACAGGGTTGCCGGGCTCGTTGAAAGATCGCTGTGGGGTGTGAGTGTCGGACTTTGGACATTGCAGCATGAGGGCTCGCTCGCAAATCACAAACCCTCTTCGTGCTCGCCCGCGGCCCTTCACAAGTGGTTCCGGGCCCTGAGATTCTTTGCCAAGGCTTTGCTGCGACAGGGTTGTTGCCTGCTCTTTTATCGGGTGACGTACAGTTTGCAATCAAGTCCAAGTTTGGCGGTGCAGCTGCAAAGCTCGAAGTCCCAAATGTCCCAACCAAATCCGAAGCCTTGAACCGAAGCTGCGCCGTTAGTGCCAGGCACGCCCAGGGCGGTCTATGCAAAGCCTGTTCCCCAACCTCCGGAGCTTCTGTAGTCGATTTTGAGAACCCTTTTGGCTAGGCGGTGTTCCTTCCCGAGCGACCTCAGAAATTTGGGGGTCGAACCCGGGCCTGGCACCGTGCCTCCTTTTTTGAGGATGTCCCAAGGACTCCTCTCCTCGCAGTTAGTCCGCTGCCCACGCAACTGTGGCTGCAGCCGCTGGTCCGGTCCAAGTGCCGAAGGCCTTGTTCCAACCTCGTCGGACCTTTAAACTCGTAAGCAAACAGCCGTTTCCAGCAGCGATTGCAGGGGAGCGCTTGCGGTGGGGGGGACGGGCGGGGTGCTCGGCCTGCGTCATGTTAAGCGAGCACGCAGCTCCTTCACATCTCATGCGTTAGTGCTATGCCACCGCCACGCTGTGCGTCCCGTGTGGTAGGTTGGGCCGGAAACGATGCAGAGCTGTCGGAAGCGGACTTGTTCGAAGTATACATTTTAGCAGGTACGTGATGTCCACTCAAGTTTGAAAATCTCTTCGACGACGCACCCTTTCGTTGAGAACTTCGGCGATCCCCATGGCCGATGATGCCGCCAAGCCAAAGGAGGATCCCCTGCGAGCGACTCGGTCGAGACTTTTTTGACTTCACGTGTGGTTCTCCTCCGAAATGAAGTGAAGCTGGCTTGTGCGGAAGTGTGGCAGGAAATCAAAGCGTCCCTGGACCGGCATCTCGGCTTCAACCCACCCAGATCCCATCGCAAAGAAGCCTGCAGCCACATTCGCCGACAATGCGCAAATGCAGGAGTATCTCGGAGTATCGTTCAGGCTCGGCTTCCTGTAGCCCGAGAATGCAGATGTAGCATTGATGCGACAATGGCAAGAAGTTTCTTTGGTGGCAGTACTTCAACTGCTGGTCTTGGAAGTTCTTGCGCAACACACAAATTTGTGACCGAGGGCTCTTCGTACAATGGCCACATCAACATCACCACAACCACCAACATCATTTCCATCATCGTCACCCCGCCGACCTCGCCATTACTTTCCACTTCATCGGCTTCCCAGCTTGCTGATGTTGCAGCAGGCAGATGCGCTGCCAGCCCTACGAACGCTTCGACAAGTTCTACGAAGGCCGCTGCTGGCTGCGCTTTCGTAGTTTTACACGTGAAAATGAAAGCGCAACCGGGGTTTAGGATCTTGGGTTTAACGTTTTGGATGTCCTGTCGGAGTGTCAGTTTTCAGCGTTGACAAAGTTTAAAATCTTCGCGCAACTCGATTCCCGGCCCAGAGCAGGCGAGGAGTTCGCAGATGCTCTCTTCACCGAGCTGGTGCCCTGGGGGAAGGATCAGACCTTCACTGGGCTGACCCACGGCACTCCGAGCCCTGCTTCGAATATTAAAAAAGTTTGCAAACTGGGTCTCTCTGTCTCTCTGTGGGTGGGTGTGTGGGTGTGTCTCTGTGTGTGTGTGCGCTTGCGCATGTAGACCTCTGGTGAGTCTTGTTTGTCATGGGTCCAAGGGCCGATGTTGCTTGGGAACTATAATGCGCGACCTCCTGTCGCGGTGCCGTTTTGGGTGAAGGTGGGACGCGTCGACCCCAGCATTTGATGCCGACGTCTGCTCCGGGACTGTTGTCCTCGTGTCTTTTCTTCTCCGGTTGTTCACAAAGCTGGTGTTCGAGAGGAGGGGCCGCGGCCTAGTCGACCACCCCCCAAACGCTATCATTTTCAACAGTCACCACTTCAAGAGGTAGAGGAGGTCGTCCTAACTGCCAGGTATGGTTGCCTTTCCGAACAGTTGCGTGGTTTGAGGTTGCGTATTCAGCAAGAACAACACAGAAAAGCGCAAGGTACACCGGTTTGCGCTCGATGAAAAACTTGCAAATGTACACATGTGAAGCGTTGCATAGCATTCTGGAACTGGTGGTCTCACCGTGGCTCTTCTTCCTAGAAACACTGCGCCCAGCCTCAATTAGTATAGCGGCCTTCACAATTACCTGTACTATTTTTGGGGGCTCCTTACTCTATTTCTAGTTTAGTATACCCCTAAACGACATTCTAATTATTAAGGGCCCTATATATTTCATTTTCCTCATCATTGTGAGTTTTCTCACTCCGCCACACGGCCTCGCCCGGAAAGCAAACACGCACCTCATCGCACGAAGTGGATTTGTTTTTGGGGGATCTCCTCCTTCCTCGGCTGCCAGATTCTGAGAGTAACGAAGGGTTCTGGAGACGGCTACTCCGATGTCCTTCTTGTCTTTCAGCCAGCTCTCAGTGGTTTTTTGTCTGGAGCCGATCTCTAAGGAAGGGTGCGCATACGCCGCATGGTTGGGGCCACCTGGCAGATTCATGCTGCACGGAGCTGATTGTGTTGGCATTTATTGGGGTTAGAATGCTCTCGGCCCTGAGCATATTGGGTCTCAGACCGAGTCCAGGTGTTCTGGAGCACCACGAAGGCTTCATGCAGGCTTGCTCTGTGTGGCTCGTCGCGCGGCCGCACAACTGGGACTCCACAGGACAGGGACTTCTGCTGAAGGTGTGGTGCGTGGTTCACGCATCGAGTATGTCTAGAGGTGAGTTTGCATAACAAGCTCGTGATCAAACAAAGAGACATGTAAAGTTCGGCTCCCGCGAGCATTTGCGGAATCTTTTCCCGAGTAGACTTTCGGATTGCGACCGAGGATGGTGTTGCCGATGGGCCTGGCATGTGGGCGAGCACCATGAATGGCATCGAGCAGTGCCTCAGCTGCACAGGGAAGTCAATCAGAAAGATCCTTTCATATTTCTGGGTGGGAGGAGCCATGGACATGCCGAGCAACACATGCAGTGAGTCCACCTGCTGTCGATCTCGCACTAGGATTGTTTGGGTGATGGGTACCGACAAAGCCAAGTGCTCCAAGGTGTGGGTACGGCACCTGGGTTCAGGTCCTGCGGCAACACCCTTGCATCTTGCTTTGTGCCATGACTCGCCCATAGCTGGACTTTGCAGAGACCACATTTACAAGAAGAGCCATCGTTGAAAGAAGAGAAGACCACCAAAGCTACCGAAGGAACCGACAGAGTACACGGAAACTTGTGGTGTTGCAGATTACAGGGATCAGAAACGAGTTCCCGAGGGAGCATGACTGGTGGCTTGTCTTGCAGGGGAAGCGGCATGGCTACTTCGCCCTCGTCAAAGAAGGCAGCCGAACGATTAATTCTGCATTGCTGCAACCTTGCACGACTTAGCGCATCTTGAACTAGACTTGAAAATAATGACATTGGTCCATTGGTTCTCCCGAAGGCGGTAGGCTTGGTTTCTTTGCTCCACGATTGCATCTTTAACGCGCCACTCGTGGAAGACATTCTTTCTCAGCGATCGGCCGTAACTCTATCGTGGAAGGAACGGAATTCTTGAGCAGATCGCTTCCTAGGCAGCCCCAGCAAAGTCGGCGCACAAAAAGTTATCAGAACACCACCGCCGCCGGCTGTACGGCCGTAGTTACGGTGCACGTGGTGAACCACCCAAAATTTTGAATCCGTTTGTTTATCGACGTTTGGCTCGTGCTGTGGTGAGAAAGCAGCCATAGCACGGCTCTTACTGTCTTTCTGCTGCCTGCGAGGCCGCGAGAGAGAATGTTGAAGGTCCTGGAGTTGCTTGTCGCAGCAGCAGAAGGAGGAGGATGAGGAGGAGCAATAGCAACAGTAGTAGCAGTAGCAGCAGCAGCAGGAGGAAGACGGAGGAGGAGCAGGAGGAGGAGGAGGAGAAGTATAAGCAGAAGTAGAAGTACAAGCAGAAGTAGTAGCGTCAGTGTCCACAAGGATCTTGACTTTCGCACAGAAGCAGGCCAACTTATGTATATATGTATGTATGTATGTATGTATGTATATTATGTATGTACGTATGTATGTATGTTTGTACATACGACATGTATATACGTATGTACGTCTGTACATATGCACACACTTGCCACGGCGCGCTACTCTCTTTCTCCAGTTGTGGGTATGAAATGGGATCTTGCAGATTTCAGTTTAGTGTTTGTCCGTATCATGCGCGTGGGAACCGGAGCTGCATCTTCCTGATGTTGAGCAGGTGGCACTTACATCGAGGAGTACGAGACCGGTGAGCTGAAACGGCGCATAAAGTGGAGGCAGTCGTGAGTTTGTCATTTGTGCTTCGCCCCTCAATGGGTGCTAAAGGCCCTAAGGGCTGAGGGAAACCCTCTGCACGTCACGACCCGTTTCTCAAGATGTTGCTGATGTGCGGGGTCTTTCGGGGGACCTTCGTCTG